AAAAAAAATCAATCGCTCACATGACCTTCTCTTCTTGTATGTTTTTTTTCCCCCTATTAGAAAGACAGATATTAACAACTTGAATTATAAATGAACCAAACTCCTGACCTTATCATTTGCAGAAAATCTTTCATATCATTAAATTACAAGATAATCAACTAAATTACCTTCTTTTCTAACTCTTTAAACTCTTCTCTTTCTCAAATTCCTCACTTTCTTGTGATGCTATCTCTTTTAACTCCTCACAACCTCCCTTATGCTAATCTCCTTTTTTGCCTGTTTAATATGTTTTTCTTCGTCATAGCTACCAATAGAAACTTGAATTATAAGATTTTCCCTGGTGTTTTTCCCCTAAAGAAAGTTTAGAAAAGTTGCTTTAAAATGTTCACCAGAATCAGAACAAGTAAATCTTGTGGTTAAAATAACGCTTGCAAAAAAGTCATTTTCAAATTCCCCTTTATTGCTCAATAGGACGTAACCTTCAATTGCTATCCATTTCTGACAAATACTCAAAGGTGGACCAGATTAGAAAACCCCCCAGGCCCAACACTGGTCCATATTACCCTCCGCGTGAGATGCATATTAATAGAGGGCCCATTTATGTAACCATAGAATCACATCTAGAATGCATGTGATATTGACGTCAACTATAATACGCACCAACCGCTTGGTTCTAGTGAAAAGGGTTAGTCTATTAAAATATAACAAATAAAAGTTTAAATTCTCATTAGAAGAGTTGCTCATATTTAGTACCGGATAATACCTCAAATATTATTACTTCCAATAAAATGATGCTTGTACCTATCCATTTTTATAAGAAACAACTATCATTTCTACCTTATTCCTATTTACAAACGAATATATGTAAGATGTCTCAAATTTTGTTTTCAATGTCCTATTTTGCTCCTATTAATTACTTATTTTAGTACTCAATATATTTATTATCTCATTTCCTAAAATATCATTCATTCATTTCCTTATTATCTCTCTCAAACTTCGTTTCCCATAAATAAGACTATTCTTGAGGAAAAAACTTGCTCCTCCGTCTCTTGTTATGAGATTCAGTTTTTTGAATTGGTTCGTCTCTATTTATAAAATATCCTTTGAGTTTGTCTAAACAATAAATGTATTTTTACCCATCTTTACCCTTAATTAGTGTACTCTCTCTCATTATTTTTTCCCCATATGTTCTCTCTTTTCTTTTCCCTCCCTCACACCTGCCCACTTATAAATAAGGGCATATTTCAAAAAACATAAAGTATATTTTTAATATATTTATTACTTTTAACTAATTTTAACAAATTTTTTTAAAGGACAAAGTGAGTACACTTTTTACACATTTATTATCTTTTAATCAATTTTAACTAACTTTTTGATTAATATGATTTGGTTAAATGTTTCTTTAAAAAAAAACGATAAGATGAGTATCTACTAAGAACGTTTGAGTCTAGTCGAAGGGGTTAATCTCTTACAATGTGATGGATCAATATTTGAATTCCTATTAGGAAAACTCACATTTAGTATCCAACAATGCATTAAATGAGATTGTCTATGCCTTTAAAAGAAAGTTAAAAAAAAAGAAGGAAAAAGCTTCTATAATATGTATACCCCAAAAAAAAAACTTCTATAATATCACTGGCCTGGTTTGCCTAAAAGCAATCTTCTATAATATCAAAGTTATGCAAAAAATTGTGCATGAAATTATTCTAGTGTATTCAACCTGTAAAATTAAGTTTACAAGAACTTCAATTAATTAGCTTTATATAAACATATTCGACCTGGTGCATTAAAACATTTTATTTATTTGATAAAAGTTTACTGATTCAGACATAATAGACGAAGATATATCATATGATTAAAGATTGACTCATAATTATTCACAAGTCGTAAGCATCTCAACGCCTTTTCTGTTGTACAAAAATACATGTATATTTTTCAAATAAATTGTCCATGATGAATATTTTTCTATCAGAATTATGTGCAAAATCCTTATCTACGTCTCTATTGATTGACCTTGTTGTTTATAAGACATTTGAAAATGACAGGAAATTTCCGGGGAAAAAAAATTATTGGGAGAATTACAGTCAAATCTTAAAGAAGAGAAATAATTACTAAAAGATCCCAATAACAATATGAATAGCCTGTAATAACAAGCTCTAGAGTGGAGAATAACAACTTTTAGAATTTATTTTATAATTTTTTTTCTTTCTTGAGATCTCATTGTAATTCTCCCAAGATTATTTGACCCCAGGAGCAAGGCAGCTTATTATTCCAACTAGCTATCAAAATTCTTGACATATAATAAAAACCTCATTCCACCATGGTTAAAAGGAAAAAGGCACAGAAAAACTATAAAGATACTGTAAAATTTGCTTTCCATAAAAAATAAATTCAAGAATAACTGTACAGACAATTTGATAACTTCCATTTTCAATTGCTACAAAACTAAAAGATAGTGCTATGATTAGTTATAATTCAAACACAAGTTTGTTTTTTATGGCAATTTTTTTAAATATAACCAAAACCTATATTAAGAGAATAAGTTTTTTTTTTTATAAGATAAAGTTTAGATGAATTAGTTATCGAGAATTCATTAAGGCCAACACATGCTTCATGTTCAAGAAGCGCTTGCAAATGTATTTAAAGACCACTCACTAACAAGATGATTACATTGACAATGAAATTTAAACCCATAAACTTACAGATTATTAGTCAACTTCTTACTAATTAGACTAATTTTTGGGCAAAAGAATATGCTTTCATAGCAAGAAGACCCGTAATAACGACGTAGGAGGAAGGGTGTCAACTTCCAAAGTTTCCCCCGGACCCCAAAAAAAGGAGGTGAAAATCAGAATAATAATGAAACAGGCCAGGAAAAAAAAGGTTTGAGGTCCATCGATTTAGCAAGAAGGCATCAATTTTTTTCCCTTCAAAAGGCGCACAACTACTGGGCCTTTTAGAAACCAGTCCTAAACATGACTCTTTTATAGATAACAAATAATTAGTTAACAGTAATAAATAAATTAGAAATATAGTTTTGTTTTCAAATATATTCTTATAATAAATTTAAAAAAAAGAAAGAAAATGTATGAAAAAAATATGATAAGAAAGTATAACAAAGGAGAGAGAATGAATAATTAAGAATAAAATTGTAAAAAATAAATTAAATGTTTAGACAAATAGTAAATTGAAGCTTATAAAATGAATTATATCACATACTGTAAAATTGTGAGAGAAGGTGATAGAACATAAGTTGAGATTAAAGACTTGTATTTATAAAAACAAATTTGGATTCATACTAGGAAGATCAACAATAGAAGCAATTTATTTACTAATAGAATTAATGGAAAAATATCGAAACTACAGAAGAGATTTACATATGATTTTTATTGATTGGAAAACAACTTACGACTATATGTCAAGAAAAGTGTTTTAGAAAGCCTTGGAGAGAAAAAATGTGCATGTCACTTATATCAAAATAGGTCACAACCAATGTTAGAACGACTTTTCTATAAGGATTAACTTACATTAAAAACCATTTTTGAGCCCTTATCTGTTTATCCTAGTTCTTAATGTCCTAACTAAGCATATCAAAGAAAAAAATCCAAAGTACATGCTTTTTACTGATGATATAGTTCTGTTTGGTTGAGTCAAAATAAGATATTACTGCTAAATTTGAGACATGGAGAAGATCCTTCAAACCCAAAGGTTTCCGTTTGAGTATAAGCAAGACAAAATATATACATTGTATTTTTTATAAGAAACAAGTTAGAATAGATTTGGAGGTCAGATTGGGAGATTAAATCATTCAAAAAGATGGTGAAACTAATAGAGATGTTAATAATAGATTTCAAACTAGGTGGTTTAAATGGAAAAAAAAGACAAGAATTATCTGTGATTTGTAAGTACCTAATAAGGTCAAAGAAAAGTTTTATCGCATTGTTATAAGACCACCAACGCTATATGACAATAAGTATTGTGCTTTAAAAGGATAACATGAACATAAAATGACAGTTGTCGAGATGAGAATACTAAAATATATATGTGGTCATACAAAAAAAGACAAAATTTGTAATGAACATATATGAGAAAGAGTTGAAGTGACTGCTGTTGATGAGAAAATGATAGAAAACCATTTGAGATGATTAGGTCACGGGCCAAAAAAACCTTTAAATGTGCCAGTGAAAGAAGTTGATCAAATAACAGAATCCTCTAAATAAGAATAGAGAAAAACCAAAGACAACACTTAATAAAATCATTGAGTGAGATCTTTCGATTAACAATATATCCAAAGATTTGGTTTTTGATAGAACTCACTGACGTCGGGTAATCTATTAGTCAACCGACCGCACCTAGTGGGATAAGAATTTGTCATTGAATGAATGTAAGCGATAAGTTTAACAACCTCCTTAATAATTAATTTGTAAATTTGATTTTTCAATATAATTCTCCCAAATTTTCAGGACCCCAAACCAAAAAGCAAAAAAAGACCTTGCATTGACCCCTTGCGCAGCACAAGCCCCATAGGGAAACATGGTTTGATAAAAACCTCAGACCGTCTTTTGACCCCATTCCACACACCCAAAAAACAAAAAAGGCCAGCACGACAGTGGAGATTCGGAAGGGGGAAAAAATCCCAGAATGATAGTTTTGGAAAGATAAAACAGGCGCAACTTCATTCTACCAACAAACCATAAAAAGGTCCAAAGCTGGATAACATAAATAAGCGCATCTTCGCAGACAATCCTCTTTCCCCAGAGAGCATTGTCATCTTCGTCCAGAGTTTTGTTAATCACACCTCCAATGCGAGGCGCCTCTTAGATACTATTGTTAGCACTAACTAATTGGCTATTTTTGTAACTGACGCTCTGTACATACTTCAGTAATGCATTCTCATTTTCCACTCGGAAAAAAAAAAAACGTGCAAAGCTAATTACCAGCAGAAAACAAGGAGTCTATCCAATCACCCAGACCAGTACCTAGCCAGACAAAGGCAATCGGAGGTAGGAATTGGACTTTAAAAAAAATTGCACCATCACGTAATTCATTGCCAACTCTAATGGACAATCAGTAGCAACTATGATCCAGCTTCAAACAAGTCCTTGAATCACAAACTCAAGCCAAGTTATTAGCCACAACATATTCACAGATACATGTCGACGCATTTCAAACGTTTAAATAATTGATATGACACTCGGTAGATATCAGCCAAAAGCGCAGAATCAGAGATCTCTACCTCCCTCGCATCAAGGCAGCCTCAGCCTTTGTGTAGCCGATTGACTTTCGCCCGATTCACACACTGATTCAGATGGTATCTGCAAAAGGTCAACATAAACTTAAGGACGGATCATATGAGAGATAGAAAGAGGATAGCAATCAGATTGGCAAACAAATAAATCTTGTTAATATGATTTTAACATGCATAATTGTCATCACAATATCTGAGAATATGTAAATAAGAAACACTTCCAATAAATGTCAAACAAATAGCTCCAAACTACTAAAACGAGCACCAAAGGCCACCCTTCAAACCACAAGATATCGGTAATGCCCAAAATTGGGTGAATTTTTAATATTTAACAGAGGTCAGCTTTCAACCAGGCCAGAGAGAATTACTTAATATTCTTGCTTGTGATTGAAACGCTACAAAATTACTTTAGGCAAACACATAATGCTATGTAAAGTGAGACTAAACAGTGAGAGTCTCGGTCTGAGTAGTATTATCTAGCATTTGACTCAAGACATTTAGAATGACTTTCACTAAGTAAATATCTAAAGACGCTTTAAGGCATGGGATGCGCATTTTGCAGGAAAATCAAAACATTTAACCCCGCAAACATTCATAGAAGACCACTTATGCTCTTTCTTGATGTTCAGTTGTCAAACTAAACATCGAAACCTGATAAACAGATCTCGTACCCAACATTTAAGATACCTGGGATTTCAAAATATCACCGTTTCAACAGCTCAAAAGCTTCAAGACATACCCCTACGGGGTAATAACAACACAGCAGAAACCCAAGCACAATTCAAAAATCGCCAAAATACATGTGGAAACAAATGCACCTTGTACTGAAGCTTTGTTATTGTAGTTCTCAAGAGAGTATCTCCAACTATCAATCTCAACTTCTTCACAAAATCATCACGGGTTATCTTCTTTGCCTGATGATTGACAAAAAAGAAATCAGCATGATATCAATCAAGACCAAGGAACAAAATTAAGCTACTTCACATACCCTGAATTGTTCATAATGAGTATTGATAAGCTCCCTGCCAATGGGAGAAACCTTGTCCGATATCGCAGCAAAGAGCATAGGAAAAGGCATCCAAGGCGATTTTGGACCGCTTGAAGCTCTAGAGTTCATGTTAGCAGCTTTACCTTGAGGAATCCCGCGGTCTAAAGTTGGTTGACTAATACTCTTCTTATAGACAATACAGCAAAATATTAGAAGATTCAAACAGAATGAAAAATTTCAAATAATCAACTCTTAGAATTTTCATATGGAATGAGAGAAATATTGATCAGGTGATTATCCTCAACTTTAATTTAGGACCCAAAAAAAAAAAAAGAAATTAACAAATTTAAAGGCAATTACTACTGGATGAACCACATCAAAGAGGGAGCTAAGCATGGACTATTTTTTAAGGGCAAAATACAAAATTATCACACCCATCAAATCAAGCAATGCATAAAAACATATAATTATATGTAAATGTGGACAGGTGCAGACGTTGACCAAACTATCAACATATGAAATTCTAGCATCAACGGGGATCCAGTAGGCAGCAAGCCAGTATCCAGATATAATTGTACGAGAACAATGCAAAAATTGAGCACACATAGGTTGACAAACCTAGGAATTCCAGACATGATACTGCTTTAGTAACATGCAACATGCACAAGCAAACTTGTCAAAGAAACATGTATCAGAACCTGAAAACCAAATTACTTACTATATCTACAGTAGAAGACTCAGATTGTAACAGGCCTGGACCTTTATAGGGTGTAGTAACTCCGGAAACATTATGCTTACTCTCATTGCCAAAATGATCCCCTGTAGAAACATAAAGGCCAGGTGAACAAAAGGAAAAGAATTATCTAAATAAGACCATAAAGCTTGGCAGCAGAATGCCTGGCAATGTCATTGAACAAGAGTTGAATGATGAAACATCTCTTGAATGTCAGAGTGCCCAACAAGTAGATACCAACAATCTATGGACAAATCCCTGATTAACCAATTGCTACAAATATATAATACAAAAAAATATGAGTTCTTATTTGTATCAGGAAAACAAAAATTAAAAGGACCACAGAAAGAAGTTAAGCAACAACGTATCACCTTCAGCATCAGAAGAAACCTTGAAACTAACAACGAATTCTGGATAGACGTGAGTATTCAAATTCATATTCCATACTACATAGTATCTCGGACTTTGAATGTCATCTACCCCACTATCATAGTCATTACTACTGGGATGAAATTGCCTAGTGCCCGGACAGAGAAGCTCCATGTTCCCCATTATTACACGACAAAACACCATGTGCCGTACCCCATTTTCGTCAACATCACAATTAATTGCACTGTACATAAGAAACATTGGATCCTCCTCTAAGAAATTTAAACAATATAATCTTGAATATAGATAATTAAGATTAAGAAAGTTAGGCAATAAAGAAAGCTATAGGGAAATCTCCACTAAAATGTTTTCACGTAGTAACAACTTCTGAATTAAAATAGTATATCTTGAAAGCAATAGATAATGGTGCTTGGAGTGAAAACAATTCTTTTAGGAAAGAGAAAAAACAATAGTGTGCATATTACTCAAGCCTGCCACTGAAAGGGGAACAGTAGAGACAGACAAAAGACAGCTTCCACCATGGGGCATAGGTAATGGTCTTAGGCATGAAACTATTGAAGTGTACAAGTGTCAAAGATAAAAGTAAACTCTTAACACCTAAAAGAAAGAGCGTATCAGTCTTCTATTAGTTCATTTCCAAACGGTTCAGCTTATGAATTCTATAAGTTACAAAGAAAATGGGGTGTATTGTGACGAAGAATATAACATACTGAATGAAAAGAGATCTAGTAACTTTATTGGGGGAAAAAAATTCTGCTCTCATAGGAAAAAAATGGTTGAAGAGTGTTCATAAAGTGAGAAGAATGTACATTAAAAAAAAAGAACTACGAACATATTATATAAAATTCAATCAGTATAGTGAAACATAATTCAGGGAAATGCCAGAATTTGTTAGAATAGAAATTCATTAAATCGTAACAATATTGACCTGCCAAACAGGTTATTATATATAATTCAATCAGTATAGTGAAACATAATCCAGGGAAATGCCAGAATTTGTTAGAATAGAAATTTATTAAATCGTAACAATATTGACCTGCCGAACAGGCATGCAGCTTTGCATGGATCATTCAAATAGTTCGTTTGATCCCGACAAATTTAAACTCAGATATATTATTAAGATCAAAATGAAATTCAACCTCATGTCAGGACAGTCAACAGCTGCAAGATGAACACCAGCACCATAAGTGGATTTAGTTGCAGATAGACCACAATGCCCAAGCCCATACTTCATGATTGTTGACAGTTCTCCTTTTGACAAAGCAAGCCAAGCATATCGAATATTAGCATCAGCACGGCACTTCTTTGTAATTTCAGCCTGCTTCTGGAATAACTGCAATCGTGATTGCATGAACGTGCTTGAGCAGCGGTATATCTCCACTATGTCAATAATGCCATAATTATTCATGCCCTTAAGAAACATATCCTGTACAGTATCCAAATCCAATTTTCCATTTACAGATTCAGTATGTGCATCTAAACCTATCTCTTGATTTTGTTCAATAGCTTCGCCAAAATTTCCAACATCTATCTCATTACTACCATCTTCAACTTCTACACCATACTGATTGCAGGGGTGCTTTGCATCAATTTGGATATGCTTTAGTACCACATTTGACTCGCCACTACATTCCCTCAACTTGGATTCATCCACTCCATTTAATTCAATTTCCAGATACAATTTGATCTCACTAGATTCGAAAGGCTCCTCACACAGATGTTCATGAACTCTTTCATCAGAAGCAGCACAAATTTCAGGAAAGAAGCAGCGCCCCTTCTCATCAATCCATGCAATAGGTTGCTGTGAACCAGTTTTCAAGTCCATCTGATACATGTGCAGAAAATCTAGCACAAGATGACAGCCATTGAACTCTACTTCCACAGAAGCCTTCTTTATCTCTAGTTCTTTTCTAACCAGGTTGACAACATAATCAGGGAAGTTTGTCCATTCACCACTCTGATAGAACATTAACCGTTCTGGCCTCCCACTTTTTTTGAAGTTCAAATAACATCTAAGTAAGGATTGTCTGAAATGAGACCCATAGTTGGTATCCTTGCCTGTATGTTCACCCAATCTCCTCCGCTTAACATAATTGTTTGTTGGCAAAGTTAAGGATGACCAATGAGGTAGCACAGTGTGGAAAGCTCCATTTAATTTTGCATCACATTGAGTAGCCTGCTTTCGTTTCAAATTAAGCACCGCTCTATCCAATGCCTTTGCAGTATTTGTTTCCATGTGGATCTACTTCAGCAATATCTATAAACAAGCTGAAATCCAAAACCTCAAACACGGAACTCAAATAAACTCTAAACCTTGAGCACTATTAAAGAGACTGGAGCAGCAATGGCGAATCATGATATCAAGAATAATTTGCATTTCCTGGATATTCAAAACTTGTGAGAAAATTGAATGAATGTGTACGACTATTAGCCCGTCAAATGTTGACATAAATAATTAAGACTTAGTACAGGATGACATGGTCTACATGACAACACAAGTAAGGACCTCAACAAAGACACAGAATATACATATTGACAAATGCTCCAAAAAGTGGGCATAATCGATGCACATATGCATGCTTGACGTAGCAAATAAGGAGCAGAACACAGAATCTAACAACATCAGGAAGTCTAACTTGTCAATGGATCCATTTCAGACAATAACTGAATAGACAACCTTGAGGCGATCTTCTCAGTTCTGAGAAAGATACTGTCCTTATAAAGTGCTTCTTACACATTCCCAACAAGGCAATCCACTTAAGTAATTGGTTGCCAGCAAATGGCAGTTTCCCTCCAAAGTACCAGCTTCCAGCCACAGTCAGATCCCTATCACCAACACTTCCTACATCCCCACTCACATATTTTGATTATGTCATTTAGAATTCTGTGTCATTTCACATTCTTTGTTTTCATAAGGCTGTTTAACTTCTTCTTGAACTTTGAATTTAGACGGCATAAAAATTGATGAGTTAATAAGAATATAAGATTAGAAGTTACAGCTTCATAAATGATCAAGTATCAAAGAAATTTTTAGATGTTTTATAGTCAAATGCATAAAAAGATTAGTTTTCCCCCTAAAACAAACCCTCCAAACACAGACTAACACCCAATGATTGCGCTGCCTCTCTTAATGGAGGAATAGGAGCTTTGCACATTTCCCATGTGCTCTTGACTAAAGGTCTACACAAAAAATTTCAGTTTCAAGCTTGTTCAATATGGTTAAAGATGGTTCAGCCTTTGAAGTACCCAATCTCACATATCATTGCAGTCTTCAACAATCCCAAGGGGGAGTAAATGGAAAAATAACCAAACCAGTAGTTGAAACTAAGATCATAACAACAAATTAATTCAAGTGTTTGTTCAAAAACAATTACTGGAGCATATCATTACTTACAACAGGGAGAGTGACAAAAGGTGAATAAAAGAACAAAGCATACCGAGTACTGCAGTTAGTGTTCGTATTGTACATGTTTTCCTCTCTATGACCTCAATATAATTGAAGAAGAAAATGCTACTTCTCTATTCACTCTACAGGCGGACACAGCTCTGCTCCTGATGATGAAATTTTCAGTAATAGCATACAAACCTTGTCTCAGCAAAACACTGATAAAAGAAAAGGAAATAACAGAAAGATGTCTTCTTCAATATGAGCAGTACAAAAACCAAAAACCTAGATATGGTCAAAGCTAACAGGTACTGGACTTCCATGCTAAGACAGCAAAGCATAATGAAATTAGATTTCCAAGCAAACAAGAAGCTCTCTTGAGCAGTTCTAATCTTTTATGAGCAGGGGGCATCATGCGTAATCAAGACAGCCGAATGTAAAAATTAAGAACTTTATATCCTTAACTTAGTCAACAACAAAACAGTTTATAGCTCCAAATTCGACAGAAACACAATACATAATACAAAACTCGCTAAAAAATTACACCCAAAAAAAAAAAGAAAAATTCGTTGGTCGCATATCTACGAATTGTCACAAAATCGAAGGGGAAAATGTATGAAAACCCCCCAATATCCAATTAAAACCGCAGGAGCAGACTCCGACACCCTTAACAATCAAGAATCAAGCCCGATCTACAAAATTCAAGCCCCAAATGAAAAGTCAACAACCAAGAAAACTTCTTAAAGCATAGTTTTTCTCAATCCAAATCCAAATCCTCGAAACAGAGGAAGAATGCAAAATACAAATACAAACGTAATTAGAGATAAGAATAAGTGAACAAGGAATTACCTGTATATCCACATAACAAAAAAATTCAACCTACTATTACCGATACTTCCTTTTTGGCTACTCAAAAATCGATTTGCCAGAATTTTTCTTTCTTTCTTTTTTTTTTTCCACTTCTTAAAATGATTTTAGAATAGATTTGAAGCAACGTTTGAAGGCAAAATCCAAACTAGAGAAAACGAAGGAGCAAGGGGCGGATAAAAGACGCCGTAAACAATGGCGGACTTTGGACTAGAGTCGGCGAACCAAACCACCAATCTCTCCCGTATTTGTACGAGTCTTTTTTTGCTTGGACGAAAAGCAAGGCAGTGCGAAATTCGCCCGTCGGCCCCACCATAATCATGGAGCCTTTATTCAAGACGGTAATGATATCGTTACGCGTAGCAACCGGTCGTTTCTGTCACAGCCTGTTTTCTATTGGACCGTCCAGCTGCTGACTTGGACAGGCCCGGGCTCCCATGACGCCTCCCCTAATTTAAAGCATATTTTTAATTACTTTTATTAGGCTACTTTGTCCTTATGCTGACTCCTTAGTTGCAGGTCCACCCATCGACTCTTGGCTCTCAAGTTTCCGGGATCCTTCTTTCTCACGAGCAATTCTTGCATCACCCAGGAGTGCCACGTAATATGCGGTCTGCCCAATATTAAGAAGACAAATCACACCGTGGGCCCATGGCCTTCTTAAGTTTTTTTCAAAGTTCCAAACTCATTAATTACCCCTTTCTCCGTACTACTTTCCTCTCTCCTTGTTAACTTCATTTTCCCGCCTTATTCCAACGTGGGAGGCAAACATTTTTCCAGCTCCACCGTCTCCTTCATTGATGCTGACTTGCAACCTCTGCAAATTTTCTTCATTTGAAAACTCAAAGGTATGAGGTCAAATCAATAACACAGAATATATAATTTTTTTATTGAAAGAATAATATCGTGATACAAAGAAAAAGCAAAAAGATAGTCTCTGGTTTGCCAAAACACTACAGAGCTGCAGATAAACTTTTGAAAGTAAATAGTATTTAGATGAAAATAAAATTATGATTTTAGAAATGTTTTTACGGTTTTATGAAGTAAACATATAGAGAAGTTTACCTTATTTTATAGAAAAGTGCTTCTCAGAAAGACTTTATGCATCAAAAAATCAGAAACCAGATCTATTCTTTGAGCTTTTAAAGTTTTTTGCTTAAATGATGTTTTGAAGTAGGGCTAGAATCTCATTTAGTTACACTTTGGGTAGTGAAATTTTCAGTTGTGAAAAGTCGCTTATTTCAAATACCCAGCATTATCAAAGCTAATAGTACTTATGATGGAGCGTTTCATCTGGACTTCTGCCCAGAAATCACCACTCACTGAAGCTTCTCCTCGTCCTCAGCCAACGTCTCTACTTTTTACAGCCTTGCTAATTTATTGGGTTATTCTTAACTCACCACCTCTAAGGGCTTGTTTGGTTTGGAGAGGGGAGGAGATTTATTCTTACCTTATTTGGTTTGATTAAAAAGAAAGAGATATTTAATGATCTCTTGTTTGGTGATAGTAATAATCAATTTACCATTTTACCTTTACATTTTAGTTTATATTTTTTATTGATATATTATATAAATTAATTTAAATTTAAATTTAAATCATATAATTTAATAAAAATTTAGTCTTATCATGTTAACATGTGTATTAAAAAATTGGTACAGTATTTTTTAAAGTCTAATTAATATAATAATATATTTGAAATAATCAAATTAACAAATTTTATATGCTCTGAAAAATTGAAATTTTATTTTATTTAGGCTATGCTTTTTTTAGCTTTAAAATATATTTATAAAAAACAATTAATTTTATAATATTATAATATTTTTATTTTTATAATAATTTATGTTAATTTTTATTATAATATATTTTTTAATTATAATAATTTATATTTTTAAATTTTTTACTTAGGATAATATATTTTTATTTAAGATAAATATTATAATAATATATTTTATGTGTAGTAGTTAAATATTAAAAAAGTCATAAGAATATAATGATCTAAAAATTTAGTTCCCTTCAAAAACTCCCAATTTGGAGGAGCTAAAATGGAGAGAGAAAAGCGAGGGGAGGGGGGAAACATTTTAGCTTCCTTCTCCTCTAAAACTTTTAACCAAATAAGTGGAAGGATTCATTTTTTCTCTCCTCCTCCACTTTCCCCCCCAACCAAAAACACCCTTTAAAGTGATCAACACCAAGAACCAGCACTCCCTTGATAATCAGATTTGTGGCAAGAAGAGTTGAAGCCTTGAAGGGTAATTAGTGAGTTCAGGACTTCAGAAAGAAAATTGAGATGGCAGTGGGTCCTACTGTATGATTTGTCTCGTTAATATTCGGCCGACCATATATGACATGATACTACTGGTTCACGCGGGAATTTTCTCGTGGCTCTCAATGGGCATTTTGACCTCTAGCTGCAGCACAAGAAAGCCGGTGCGAAGCCATGCAAGGGAGCATTCCCTTTCCCTGGGAAAAATGATTAAAAAAAAGTTGAAAACTACAAAATACCAATTCAGATTTGATAACAATACTTAATTTGGTACTAATAATATTTAATTTGTAAATGATAACAAATTTTTATTTACATTCTTTATTTAGCATTTTGTAATTCCTAACTTCTTTTTTTGTCATTTTTTCTAATAAATATTACTATCTCTTATCTTTAATATAATATCTAATTGATTAATTTGAAGAAATGAATGAAGTTACTAACTTATATTACAATATTTATATTATTTTTTTTCTTCAAACTAATTTGCTTCACTTATGTATTGACATGTAATCTAATAATACATATAAATATTTTACAGAGATCACGTAATATATGATATAATTAAGTAACTTAGTTGTTTTCTTAATTTCTCTAAATTAGTTAATTAAGTCTTGTGAGCACGATGGTGTCGTGTGATTCATGTAGCCGACCCCACCTAGTGGGATAAGGCTTGTTGTTGTTGTTGTTGTTGTTAATTAAGTCTTGTATTAAGATATTAAATAAAAATGGACTCAAATGGTGAGCATTTTGCTTGCCAAGTTCATTTTCAATAAACAGTTTTAGTTATTTAATAAGGGAGAAATTAATCTGTAAATTCCTTTGGTTTTACATATTTTTTAATTATATCTCTGAATTTTTTTTTGAAAAAATCCAAAAAGATACCTCTTTAATTTTAAAATCTCAAACAGAAATTATTATGAAAATATTTTGTTATTTGTTTTTTAGGTGTTATCATTTACTATTAAAATGTAGTGAGTAAGATTGATTTAGAATTTTAAAATTTAAGAAACATTTTTCTGAGATTTTTTAAACTTTTTTCTCAGCTATTTATAATTTCACTTGAGGACGCTTCTGTAGTATCTTCCCCCCTCGTGCAACAAACACAAGCACAAGTGCCCAACTACCAAGCAGGGGGCACAGAGTATGGAGGATGTGACAAGGCGGGCGGAGGAAATTAAGGACGAATTGGAGAAACGATACATCAGAGAATAGCCAAAGTCAAGGACACATGTTAATAACGTTACCTCCAATTTTAAATATAATATTTACTTTATACTACAAATAGATAACACAAAATTGTAAGCTCACCAATTCTATATACCACTCTCACCTTATTTACAAAGCAAAGAGAAGATTATTTTTTATCCTAATCATAAGGCATGTTATTAATTTTTATTACTCTATTTTCCCATTTTACTCCTTATTAAATATTGGTTTGTTATTTTATTTTTAAAGCATGCATATTCAATTGAAATCTTGTTAACATTTTAGACAGAACTAATGAGTTTTAAAGTTTTTCTTAACTATAGTAAAACATGTAAAAAGTGATTTGTAAATAGAAATGAAGTAAAATGTGCACACAAGACAAAGGAAATTTGGCAAAAAGTCAATGTTTAGAAATTTCATGAGTCAAAAGAACTTGAATTCCAGTACTGTTATTTTTTATGTATGAACTATGAAATCCTGCAGAGTATCAACATTTTTCATGTACAAAAATAGATCAAGCCCGCATAACCAATAAATTTTATATACATGAACTTTTCACCTATTTTACCTAAAATTTAATTTAGAATTAATATCATTGTTGTTTCTTTTTAATTCTAATACTTATAGTTCTAAATTGTTATTTTTGTGGTGCCTATAATTTTATAAGAAATTGGTTCAAGTTTAACAGCATAAACTTGTAGTTAACATAGTTAAGTATCAGGGTTAAAACCAAAACTCGTGAAAAATACAAAGATCAAAACCAAAAATTATTGTTGGTTTTGATCTCCATATTTACTCATATGTCAAAAACACTTCCTAAGAATGTTTTTCCGCAAAATGAGACAAACTCCTCCACATATCTGTTTCGTAAATTGTAAAGGTATTTGTAAAACTACAGTTTGATTTTTATCTAAACACCCCCTAAGCCTTCTAAAATTACAAAGACAAAACCATGATTTAAAATTATACTCCTCCGGTCCTTAATATAGGACCTAGTTGTTAAGTTGGTTTTGGTCCTAAATATAAAGCTTATTTATCATATTTATCAATTTTTTTCTAAATTACTTCTATAGATACTCTCTCAACCATAATCAAATAAAATAGGGAGATAGAATATTAAGAAAGATAATTATGGTGTTTTAGGAAAAATGTGTCACTTTTCTTATAATTAACTAATTTATCTAACTTTTTTAATCTAATCAAATTAGTTAAATAGGTCTTATATTAAGAACCGAAAGAGTATTAACTAAAATTAAAATTTGTTCAAATTGTAAAGACTAATTATAATACCGAATTTCATGATACTTATTTAGTGGGTATGGCCATTCTGAATATGAGGTGACCAACCCCTTATATTGGGATGGCCATACTTATTAAATAGAAATTTTATGTTATAAAATGAGTGTTACATTTAAAATTTGAGGAATATGGCATTTTATTTGACACTGGGCATCTTATCAAGTTTTATTTAAATACGATGCTGTGTCTTCAGCCCCACGCTGGTATCAAGGGTGCTTGAGTTTTTTTCCATTGGACGAATTATATGGGAAATCAAATATTGCACGCCGGCCAATATGCTGCACGTGTTGGGTTCATCCCCAGTCCTCCATCGACATCGAACGCCAACATCCCGATGGTGATGTATAGCTTCAGCAAAAACACAAAGCCACTTGACTATTTTCTTCTCTTCTATTATTGTCTCCCCCTTTGGCTTGTGCGCTTGTGGGAAGCCACGTGCCCATCTTCCCTCTCGATTCTCTCTCTTGCTTTCTGGACTGGACTCTCTTCTCATGGCTTCGACTATGAGTACTCTTGGTCCTTTTTCAGCGGCACAAGCCAACTCTCTCGCCCTCTCAAACAAAGCCATGCCTGTCATCTCTTCTTCTGTTCCTTCTCCATCATCCACATTCTTCGCCGCAAGCTTCCCTAGGGTTTCTCCACCCTTGTCTTCTTCTTCTTCTTCTTCTGCCTCTTACTTTTACTCAAGGCTTAGCTCGATTGCTCTGCGATCCGCTGCTCCGAGGCTTGTTTGTTCTTGTTTACTTAACTCATTGAAGGTTAGAGCAAAGGAGGATGTGTTTCCAGGCAAGGACTCTCTATATAACATGGCTAGCTCCGTTTCTTCGCGAGCATTTCTTAATGCTCGCACTGAGGAAGGTTTGGTTCTGATTGCTTGATTTCCATGTCTTTAATATTCTGAACCTTTTGACTTTTTTTTTTTTAAAATTTTATTCTTCTTCTTTACTATTAGCAAATTGCTATATCGTTGCAAGAAAATGCTTCGAGGTCGTCAGTTTAGTTGTCGGGAGATGAGGAGTACAATGAATCTAAAAGGCAACATTTTTGGTTATGTAATCAATGAGAGGAGGAACTCTAGCTTGGCTGTTTTGGCCTATACATTATCGTTTGAACTTGGCCTTGCTGATCCCTCTGTTTTTTTCTTTGCCCTGACAACATGCCGTTGCCGACTTTACTTGTTAGATATATTTAGTAATAAATATACATTATCGTTTGAACTTGGAAAAAAAATATTAGAATATAATTAATCATATTGCTTAGAAATTTCGAATTTCCTGCTCAACGAGTCACTGCTAATTCTTCCATTGGGTTTTAATACTACATGCATTTTGAAACCTTTATTGTTCACGTAAATTAAAAGCACAATTTTGTGAAATTCGTGAAGGCCATTTTGCTTGGTACCCCCCCCTCCCGGCTCTCTGATGTCTGCAGTAATTATTGATTGGAAAGAAACAGTAATCATCATACTCTCTATGGGTTTATTTACAGGAGAATTTTTGCAATTAATATCATTCACCAATTTGTGCTGAGGAAATATTATTTGATTTACAGTATGAAGTTCAGGGTAAAATCTTCTGATATATTTTGTGGAGATTGGAAGAATGGTCTGATCAATTAGGTTAAACTGAAAGCTCCAATTCATGTATTTGGCTCCCTTGAAGAGTGGTTTTTTGAGGATAAAGTGCTAGTAAAAAGCAAAAGAGTGGGTTCCTGCGCACAGATATAAATTGTCTAGTTGCATGTATCATGATACAAAACTATCTTTCCCCCTACAGTTATTCAATTTACGCTCTAGCATTTTACTTTCTAAAGTGCATCTTGCATTTTAGGGGATTATATTTTATTCTCTTTTATAATGTTTTTTTAAGCCTTTTGGGTTTGCTGATGTTCTTCATGATTTTGGAAACATTTAATTTCATTTCTTACATACGGTTGGGGTAATCACAAGCCAAATTTTGAGCGGGAGTCAGGGAAAGCAGTAATAGGGGTAGCATTAAGCTGAGTATGGAAAGAAGAAGTTTTAGATGCTTGCTATGTTTAGTACTTTTGTTCTAAGCCAGTGGCGGAGTGGTAATCTAGATTTTTCAATAGAATAAAGAGGTGCAAAGTTAAAGGATGACATGCAGAAATACTTACTTTACTAGTCTGATGTACAAGAATTTGGAGGAAGGGAAGGTGGGAGTATATTATATTCTAAGTGAGTTTTGTATGCAGATGGAATTTATTCTGAGGCATAAGTTATGTGAAATTTCAGTTTACTGTACCCTTATTTCCCAGCATACTTTTTATATCAAATCCTAAAGTGCTGGCTTGTTACTTTAATGTTTCTTATATTTTCACAGAACTTCTGTTGAGAATCAGGAAGGAAGCAGAAGCAGGATCTCTGCCTTCTAATGTTGCTGCTGGAATGGAGGAACTGTACCATAATTATAAGAATGCAGTATGTTTTTGTTCATTTTTTATTCATATAAATCTGTGCATTGCTCCAGATGCCTTCTTTTCAAATACATGTGAGCTTTTCATTTTGTCATATGCATGCAAAATGCTTTTATTATGTAAATGAAACACTTGACTAAATCATTCCTAACATTATAATGAAATCATGCAAGTACTCAGAATTTCATAATGACCCTCCAAAACTGTCCGTTTCAAGTATTGATTATTTCTTTTGTCTGTCATCTCTTTTATCTATTCATGTTTGAAACTTCAAGCTTTTCATCATGATTGACATATCAGTCTATGGTATTGCATTAATGTTTGGGCTTTATATTGCTGTGTAGTCTTTGATATGTTTTCTTGTCATTTGTATAGTAAAAGGCAAACTTGCTTCTATATCAAATCATGCTTCTGTCTCTTGTGTTGCTGTTTTTAATTGCTCAAAACTTGGATACATCAATTCTATTAAATTGCAATCTGAAGAATTGGTTTGAATTGTAGCTTTCAGAATTTTGCATTCTGAATTCTGATACATGGGAATTAATGGTAAAAGGAGTGGTTTGGGATATTTGGGTCATATTAGGTCTATAAATAGGAGTCTTTATGTATGTAATCGGCATCACATTCCTTTGGTGAAATATATATTTTTGTGGTTTATTTTTCACCTGAACTTTTCTGGGTGTGCGTAGTTGGCTAATTGGCATGAATAATTAGATATACTTTATGAGGACATAAACAGTTTTAATACTATGTTATTGCACATCCGTTTGATGTCCAGGTTTATACATTTATCTTTCCGCATTTGAATGATGTAAATGAGTTTAATACAATTCCTCATGCATTCACTTACATTTCAGATTATAAAAAGTGGCCATCCCAAGGCAGACGAGATTGTATTGTCAAATATGACTATTGCATTAGATCGCATATTTTTGGATGTAGAGGTAAGTGTTGACGATAGTATAATCTGCCCTAATTGTGTTGGTAAAAAAATTCTTGCATTACTAAAGGAGGGGAAAGAAAAAAGAAAAGAGAAAGAAATTGTTTCATGGCGTCTTGACATGTATGTACATTTAGTTTGCTGATGTTTTCACTGTACGTGACCTTCAAGCTTAAAACATTTCTCCAGGATCCTTTTGTCTTTGAACCACACCACAAGGCAAAGCGAGATCCTTTTGACTACTACATGTTCGGTCAAAATTATATCCGTCCTTTAATTGATTTTAGGTAAGTTTACAACTCGATATCTCTTTTATCTTCTGATTTAACTGGCATAGATCAGTTCTTTTTTTTTTTTTTTTTTTTGGGTGCCAGCCAGTTCAGTTTACTTATTCAGATTATTGTATTTTGTCCATCTATACAAATGGTTGGTAAAAAACTTTATGCATCACCATGTATACCTTGAACACGGTTATTTGTTTTAATAATTATTACTACCTCCAATCTAGCTAATTTGGGTAGATTAAAAAAACTAGTTAAGTTAGTTATTTGTTAAAAATATGTTCTGGTTTTCCTAAAATATGCTCTTGAATTATTTGCATTGTACTACTCTTTGATGCAAACTCTCTTAACATGTGCAATCAATGAGAACAGTTTTTTGGGAGGGGGGGTAATAAGTATGGCGGACAAAATGGATTGAGGTATTGCATTACAGGCCAAATTCAACCCCTCAACCGGCTCTCATAGAGGTGGTATATGTTTAAGTATGTTTGACCTGCGAAAGGTCTCATGTTAGGAAATCACAGATGATACATGCATCTTCTAACTTAGCCAATGATTTGATCAAGACTATTTGCTATTGTGGAAGCAATTCTGATGATTCCTGAACTTCTTCCCTTGATGTGCATGTAAATGAACTGATCATACTGTTCACTTCTTTGCATATGCTTACATCCAAGGTTCTGGAACCCGATACATTATTTCAGGAAACTTATGTGTCACTCTTTCAGGAGTATAATTATGGCATGTAGCATTCTATATTCCTATTCTCAGGTTTCCTTGCCCTCTCGTAATTAGTTTATATTTTATATCTGGCCCTGCTTTTTTTTTTTCCTTAGCAAAAATGAATGTGATCTTTTTGTTGCAGAAATTCTTATCTTGGCAACATTTCCCTTTTCTATGAAATAGAAGAGAAACTTAAGCAGGTGCCAATTCCTAGCAAGTTAATTTTATATTCTAGATTTCTTTTGCTTGCTATATATTATTGATAAAACATGTAATTAGCCTTTTATCACCAAGTTGGAAGAGAAGCGTGGTATAGAAAGTCCAAGTTTCCTCTTTTGTTGCATCTGCCTTTTGCATAGAGTGAGGTCTTCATGTCCATCAGACCTTTGCAGTAGACTGTCCTTTTAGTTTGGGTGCAATATACATGATAATTGACTTGTGCATAACGTGAGGTCTTCATGTCCGTCCAGCCAAAGTCATGTAGCTGATTTGACTGTTTGCAATTTTCTGGTTGTCCTCTAATCAGTCTGGTTAAGATGCTTCCTGTCACAACTGCGTTTGGCATCTTTAGATTGTGGTGTTTCTGCTGCCTTGATTGTTTTGAATTTATTTTTCTAATATCCTAGTTAGAGCTACTTCCTGCATACTCCTGTGAGCTAGACAAAAGACTACAAGAATATCCACAATCTCTTATGAGAGATGAAGCTTGTTTTGACTCATAGATTCCTGATTTTATTTTCGCCAGCCATCTTAAAGTTCTTAAAGCTGGTGGCGCTCATGAAAGAATGAAAAATTTACTGCAGGGACACAATATCATCTTAGTATCAAATCACCAAACCGAAGCAGATCCAGCTGTTATTGCACTGCTTCTTGAAACGGCATGCCCATATATTGCTGAAAGCGTGGTAAAATACAAAACATGGATTTATATATTATAATGCACGTTGATAAATGCTAGTGATCAAATTCTACTCTTTGCAGACCTATGTTGCAGGAGATAGAGTTATAACAGATCCCTTGTGCAAACCCTTTAGTATTGGCAGGTTTTGTCCATACTTCCGTAGGCCTAATTTATAGTGATAATTGTATTACCTTTGAGAAATGAAGTTTAGCTGGCTAAATGTTGACTTCCAATTTTATGTTTACAGGAACCTTATCTGCATTTACTCAAAAAAGCACATGCTCGATGTTCCTGAACTTGTAGAGATGAAAAGAAAAGCGAATACAAGAAGCTTGAAGGAAATGGCTGTGCTTTTAAGGTACATCTTTTAGTTTACGAAGGAACTCCTGAGTTTTTATGCTTGTTAACACTGTAGCGCATCAATGTTTGACCGTAAAGCAGTACACTCTGGTAAGTAATAAGGTGTCATGCATCAATTTGAGTCCATAATTTATTAGAAATCTCAAAATTTATGGATTAGCATGCGGATATAAACAAATGATCTAATGGCAGTGTCGGTCAAGTTTCCCTTTTGAGTTTAGATGGTATATTTTATTGATAATGATTTTTCACTGGTCAAATGTTCACCCTGTTGGCAACCCGTATGATAAATGCAGCCTTTTGGTGCAGGGGTGGGTCACAGATTGTCTGGATTGCACCAAGCGGTGGTAGGGATAGACCAGATCCCCTAACAGGAGAATGGCTACCAGTAAGCATAGCTTTTACCTAAAGGAAAACATCAAAATGCATTGTAGTTTAGATTTTAGCATGCTTATCCCATTTCAGATATTCAGAAAATATTCACGAGGCCATTATTTATTTTAGACCAAGTGATTTGTGCTTGCATTTGAGCTAGAATTTTTTTTTTTTTTTTTTTAACTTCTGCGAAGTTTTCTTAGCCAATAACTTATTTCTGAATATGGGATTCATGTCATCTGATTTCTCATATCTTGTAGTTTGGTGTAGCCGGAGAAAATTACAGAGCAAGTCCTGATAGTGCATTGCGACTTTTGGTTGCATTTTAAGCTACCTCTTTAGTTGCTAGGATGGACAGGGAATCTCTTTCCATCCTCTCTGTACAAAATCTATTATGCCTTTCTAATCATCACTCATGAACATCAATGCTGATACTACTTTTTGAAAGTAGGGTCATAATGGTCATTTTTCATTTTCAAAATTAATTTTTTTAAAAGAAAATATATTCCTTTATGCTCTTCACCTCAAATTTTAGCATGGGATACCCAAGCTAATTTTGAAATGTTGCCTTCTTCTATGAGTTGCCTGTTAAATTACATTTTTCACTTTAGTTTCAATTCGAAACCCTACCTGCACAAAAATAAATTTTACTACAAAACAGGTTGGCATTTTGGCCAAGCACCCAAAAATAAGGAAAAAGAAAAACTTGAAAGTACTTGTTTGAAAACTAAGCTGAAGCTTGATTGTTGCATTGAAATTAGAACTGTTGGGCTATATTGGGGGATAAACTCTTGCCAATTAGTGAGTTGCAGTTTTTAGCTTTTAGCTTGTGAATTTGGTCTGTTACACACAAATACACATCTGTAAATAATTGCTGAGACAATTTTGGCTTGCTACTTGTTGGCTTGTTGCATAGGCTAAACAAGTATGAAGTGGTGAATATTGGGACTAGTGTCTCAATCTCCTGTCACAAGCAATGGATTTGCGTGCATAACGCTGCTAGCTTATGATTTTACCAATTTTATAATCATTTCATACTGATAAAAGGCATGCAGGCACCATTTGATGCTTCTTCAGTAGACAATATGAGAAGGCTTGCTGAACATTCTGGTCAACCAGGTCATATTTATCCTTTGACAATATTGTGCCATGATATCATGCCACCTCCCCAACAGGTACGGTGATCCTTGTCTTTGAGAATCCACCCATATATATATATATATATATATATTTCTTGTTTTCATGCGATCAAGAAGTTTTGCAGGTGGAAAAAGAAATTGGAGAGAAGAGAGTTATCTCCTTTCACGGAGTTGGATTATCAGTGGCTCCAGCAATAAGCTTTTCCGAAGTCACCGTTGCTTGTGAAAGCCCAGAAAAGGTTAGATAAATTTGACCACGTTGCTTTCGATTCCTTGTTACTTGCACAGTTTTCTTTTCCTCCCACGGACTTGGCACATTTTCAAAGGAGAAGCCCCTTTGCAATGCTCTCCTCATTACCTTCACTCGTCTCTTCCATGCCTCTCTGCCACTTCTCTTGCGTCTCCATCTTCCACTGGTGGTTCTTTCCTTAGTCTTGTTCCCTAAAGGCGCCAGGTTTTTGCCCCACCCTGTTTATAAGCTCCTCCACCCCGGCTTTGTGCTGTGAAAATGGCTGTGAAAGTATTATGTGTCGAGAGAATTACTAAGCAAACCTCCATTAAACCTTCTCCAGCGACAGTCCTGCCACCTCTGCCCCCCCTCCTTTTTCCCAGCTCATCCCCTTACATCCCTAGTGACAATTCGTTCAGCACCCGATCCTCTTTTATCCTCTAGCCACCATATTACGAGATGATGCAGCCTTTGTCCCCTCTGTACCATCTCATGTCTTCATCATCTTGCTGTGGCCCATTAACATCCTAGGCCCAAAAGTTATGGATCCATCGCCAAGTTAAACCATAGATGATGGACGCTTGCATTGTTGCATATTGTAGTATGCTCCATATTTTTATCACCAGTAATTGCTGCATGTAAATTGTAGCTTTACTTTTTCTTTGATTATACTTATTGTTTTCAAATAACTTCGTATTTGTTTATGGATCAGAGCAAGGATGCGTATGCACAGGCGCTTTACAATTCTGTAACTGAGCAATATGCTGTGCTGAAATCTGCCATACATGGCCAACAAGGATTAGCTGCATCAATTCCAAATGTCTCTCTGTCACAGCCATGGATTTAACCCAAAGCTGTATCTTTTCCGATCTCCGTTTTGATGATCAGGTACGCTGACTTCTTCTCCCCCCCCCCCCAAAACAAAAAAAACAAAAAAAACCGAAGAGGGAAAAAAAAAAACTTTGATCCTTGACCGAGCACATTTCTCATTTTCAAATTTATTGAATCACTATAGAATTTTGAACTATGTGTACATCTTAAAGCCTAGGGTCAGCATCAGCACCTGTTCTTATGACGGTGCTTCTACTGGGGAAAAAGACTCATTAGAAGATATCATGATGAATTTATGATATGTTATTGGAAAAGAGGGGGGGAGAGACAGAGAGAGAGAGAAAGAAGGGAAAGGGAAGAGAAACAGCGAGAATAGGGGAAATTAGAGAGAAGGGGGAGAGAGTAGAAGGCAATAGATGGAAGAGGAAGAGAGTTCCATTAGGCTGATCACAATACAGCACACTTACAAATGAAAGATAAGCCTGTTTATATAGGCAAAGTGCAACGGCCAGTAACTAACTATTATTCTAACTAACTCACATAAGTCTGTTATTTATTTATTACAATATCATATCACATTAATAACCTGAAAAAGGGTATTTGGCGGTAGATTAAAACGTATCCGCATTTATGGTTGTTTATATACTCTTCAATTATACTGATTCAATTACATGGCTGAAAGCTATATATCTCTTCCTTTGGTTTTCAGGTGCAAGTGACAACACATCGGTTTTGCGATTCAACTAGTGCACTTCAGCACATTTTTTCCCACGCCCATCGGACGGGTTCGATGGAATTGCTGTTGAATAAAGGTTCTTTGTGCATATTCATAGCAGAATCGCTAGAAATCTTTGTCATGAGCAAGGTTCAGTTTAAGCTGCATACTGTATAGGTCTTTTGGGTTCCGAATCAAATCGTGGCCTTTGGTATAAAAAATTTTCATGTAATTTATATTCTTTTACTCACAGCTTTGTATTAGGCTCTCATTTCCCTAGTTGACCAGTTTAAAGTTCATAATTTTGCAAATGTAATTTGGCGAGTTTGAGAAAAGTTCAATTATTTATGATCATGAATAGTGATTTTTCATAGATTTTATGTTTCCCTAGAGTGTGCCATGTGGCAAGTGGAGCTAAGCCTGCAAACTTGTTAATAGTACATTTTTCATGTTACTGTTAATTTTTTTTTTTTTAATGGTATGTATTGATTTTATTTGATGACAGGAGAAGGTATGAGAGAACTTGCTCAAAGAGGAAAGGATGGGCATTAAAAATAGAAAGAATTATAATGAGGTTTTAAAGAAGGAAAACAATTACAAGACAAATCTTAGAAGGTGTCATTTCTTATTTTAAAACTTGTCATTACAGATTATTTAGGTTGTTATTGAAAATTTTTTATAATTATTTTTTTTTAGAACCTCATTATAATTCTTCCTTAAAAATAGATATTTTATTTCATTATTGAGTGGTCTCTATCCCTTTTCTTAAAAAATGGAATTAACGAAGCAAAAAGATTTTAAATCAAACTTTGTGATAAGATCAGAATATTTAGAAATTTAATTTGACTCTAATGAATCCCTCGGGAGGTTATGGTACTTTCAGGAATTTATGCAGTGGATACGGGGTGGGTTTCTAATTGGTGGTTGGAGGCATGTTACTGTTACCGGTGGAAAGCGTAGTGAGCATCGCTTTTGATGAGAGAAATTAAGCAAAGCAATGAGTGTAGAGTGTTATTAACAATGAAACATGAAAGAAGAAAGTAACGTTGAGCTCTGGGGATTGTTCCCATTTTCCAACTGCAGGGACTCGCCCCTGGCTTTGATATTTTCATGTCATGCATTATTTTGCTGTTTCTGCCACCACTAAGATTCGAATCTCACCCTCTGATGCTGCACTATTCCCTGCCTTTGAAATTCTTCTTTTTCCTTTTTTCTTTTTGTTTTTTTTTTGGGGATTAAATGCTGGATTAACGCTATGCAAAGTACTTTGCTTCTTGCTTCTTGTTGCAATGAAATCGAAAAAAATTATAAGGAAATTTATTTGGGGCTACTCTGATGATCATCATGGGGTGAGTCTAGTCAAATGGAGTGAATTTTGTCAGCTTTTGAGGAATAGTGGTTGTAGATTTCTAAAATTTGAATCACAAAACAAGGATCTCTTCTCCAAACTTATTTACCATATGTTTTCACAGCTTGACACTCTTTGCGTTAAGGTCTTAAAAGGTAAATATAGGTCTGATGGCACAATAGAATCTACTATTCTTGTCAGATCTCACTCCTTTTACTTTTGGAGGAATATAGCTAAAATATGGCAAGATGCTTCCTTTCATGTTAGATGGAAACCTGGAGATGGTTATAAGATAAGATTCTGGTCAGATTATTGGGTTGGTGATTGTGGACCCTTAAAAAATCTTTCCTTTGCCTCTATCTCTGAATCTGGTCTCTCACAAACAATTCCTCATTATATTGATTCAAATGGTGGTTGGAGATGGCACTTGTTTGACCACTTGTTGCCACCAAATATTCTCCAAGAAATTTCTTCCACCAAAATTGCCTAGACCCCTTGTGCCCCTTCTTGTTATTGGAACCTCACGCTAACTAGAGATTTCACAACAAAATTAGCCTATCAAGCTGTTGAGTGTCTTAATTGGAATGTTGCTGATATAAACTGGACTCATATGGAAGCTCCCCATGGCGCAAAAAATATGAACCTTCACCTGACTGCTTATTAAAAGAAAGCTACTCACTAATTCTGAATGTCATAGAAGAGGAATGCGTATGGAAAGCCACTGCACCCTTTGTAATGCAAATGTAGAAGATATTAATCATGTCTCTAAGAATTGCCTGTTAACGTCCTCAGTTTGGAAGAAAGTTCTCCCATAAGACATGTGCATCGACTTTTTCAAGAATGATGTGGTGCCTTGGCTCAATAAAAAATTAGGTGACTCAAACTTAGATATTTTTTGGAAGATTGGGCTTTGTATAACTTACTGGAAATTATAAAAAGTCAGGAACCATCGCATTTTTACCTCTGAGACTTAAACAGCAGAAAGTATACTTGTTGACATTAGAATTAAAGTTGACCACAATGTAAAGAATTTTCCTGTAAAATCTTTCTCCTGTACAGTGTTTTTTTGATGAATTGAAATCTGCCCTTTTATTCAAAAAAAAAAAAAACTCATGAAAGACCTTTCATTTATAGAAAAGTATCTATGTCATTAAGCAACGAATGGCTTTAGTCTGCTCTCGAAATTCCAATAGTACAAAACTACACTCGCAATGCGAAGTTACTACACTGCCTTCTTATATTAACAAGGTTCGTGATTATACTGGATAATCTAGGTCTCCAGCATTCAAGTATTATCATGTGTGATTAAGCGTGGCTTTTTCATAAATGGGGCTAGGTCGGATAAAAAAAGTTAGTTCTTCACAATGCACAAATCAATGGTTAAATTTTTATTGAAAGAAATGCTCATATTTAATATCCAATAATATCTTGAAAAAAAACTATTTTTAAAAAACTAATCTAAGCTGGCCCATTTCACTTGGCCGAGTGATTTGATATATGAGCTGAAATCACTAACAAAGCCATGCTAAGTTGCTCTCCATATTCTATTGAAGTGTGTGCCATGTCACTCTCTCTAGTCTCTAGTCAGCCATGAATGTGTTGCTCTCATTCCTAAAAACATTTTTCATTTTTTACTTAATTAATGTTTATGGAATTAAAGAGAGCCACAGATTGTTGGGACCTAAAATGCACAAGTAATGGGCCCTCTCTTTTCTTATCCAAAATTAATGAGCATATATAAAAGTTTAAAACCACAGCCACACCAGCTTCCACATTCTCTATTAATTTCTTTAAAGAGCAATCCAATCAGAATACACTGAGAAAGGCTAACGACTCGAAACATTGAAATAAATAGAAAGAATAAGATCACACAATTAGAAAACTGTGTTCCCCAGAAACCCCACACCATCCAACATATGTGATTCTTGATTATTCATGTCCAAATGTTGGTGCTAAATCAAGATGTTCCATATGTATTGTCATTGATTACATAAAAAAAAAAATATAAATCGTGAATATTTTATCACATCTATTTTTGATAACGCAATTTACATTGAAAAACAATAATAATAGCAGTCACATTGAGAGGTAGAATACTCGACATGTCTTATGTCAGATTTTGAGTTTTAAACAAACAAAATTATGTTGGAAGATTTTCCTGCTAAATAAAACCCAACTTACCCTGACTTTGAAATGTCAATAAACAATGCTTATAATATTGAGTGTTTTTGCAAATTACTAAAAAGTGGACTACTTATTAAACATTCAAACCAGTCGAGGCATCAGTTTAATGAGACTCGACTGAATCATGATCAAATTGATATAATCTAGTTAAAATATTCAACAATATTAATATTTAACGATGAAAAGAGTAATATTTTTAAAAAAATATTGGTTTATACTAAAATAAGACAAGCGTATAGAATAAATTACATAAAATCCAACGAAATAAAATGATTGTCCTTTTTTTTTAAAACTTAAAACAACATCATTTTAGAGTTAACAAAAAAAATCCATAATCCAACTAAATGAATTCATTTAAAATTCTTGACTGAACTGAATGGGTGAATAGTTAACTGGTCTAATTTAAGGATCCAAATAAAATATTTGAGTCCTACCCATTACATAATAAAATAGCCACTTTTTTTTCAGCTAAGCACAAATATTTTCTTATTAGATATAATTTTATTCAAGGCAATTTCGCAAATAGTCGCCTTCTATTGCTTGCCAATTTTGGTCACATATTATAGTTATAATCCTTTCCATATCATGAGATTACTATTTGGATGCATGCGTTAGAGTGAGCTAGCCCCAGTTATGACTTATGTCGGCATTCAGTGAATGAGGCATCAATCACAACCAATTTAAAAAATATATATATATTGATGTAACCAACCAAAAACCAAAGTCATATTTTTCTTTCTTTTCGAGCTTCTTGGTGTTTTTCTATTTTTCTTTATGCAGATCAAAAGATATCACGTTCTGATTTGATCATATTTGTTTTTTGTTAATATTAATCTAATCAGTTCAGTGTATTATTACTGTTAATATCGGATGATTGATTCATTTGACTTGTGAGGCTGTGGTTGGTCTCTTTCATTTCTTTTTAAAATTAACTCAACATTATCCACTTGTTATTTATTGAATGGGATTTGAAAAAAGTTGCTCGAATCAATTTATTCTCGAAATTTCTATTCGTTTTATTTTATTTATCTTTTTTTAAGACATATCAAGTCAATTTTAGCAATCAATACAGACATCATTATCTCAACAAATTAAAATTAAAATTGAGCGACATGAATGTTAAATTCTCCCGACCACAGTTTTATCTATTTCACAAAGTTCAATTAATTCTATTTTTAATTTTACTGCTCATTGATTTCATGGTTCGTGTGAACTCTTTAAAATGATAAGAATAAGAATAAATAATATATTTCCTATAATGTACTATATATAATTTAAACCAACATTTTGATTTTTTAGTATAATATTATGCACCTTAATTTATTATACTTTTATGCAAAAATTTATAATTTATCATACTTTCTCTATTATATATATATATATATAGTATTTTAGACTTTTAATTTACTTCTAGGCTTTTAGTTCATACTAGTGCAAGACTAATTAAATTAAGAACCCACTTGTCACATAAGTTGGTGAGCAAAAGATTGCTAAATCTAAAAGAGAGCTATTAGAGCTTTAGTTCATTCAAATATTCAAAATTTAATCAACTTTTTTTTTTAAAAATATTATATACTTATTTGATGCTACATCCAACTAGATATTTATTATTTTTCTCTTCATACTCTTTCAGTCTTTCTCTTCACTTAGTTTTTCATATTATTTCCCACTCTTTTAAATGGGAGAAATTTTATTAATTAAAAATTTTATTAATTCACATGTTTTGAGTTTAAATAACTTTAAACGATAGACATTAGTAGCTACAGAATTAAAAAGATCATCATTATTTAGAAATAATAATGTTTTTGAAAATTAGATTTGATCAAACAATGGTTTAAATCAAAATAACGTAAACATAGTTTTGAACAACTGGACTGCAAAGTACATTGTTATAAGAAGGGGTTTGTTTTTTGCTTTTTCCCCCCCGAGAAATCGAGAAGCGTAATATATATATTAAAGAAAATTTGTCTCCGCGGCTGCAAGCCCTGCATTTCTTCCTGTAGCGCTGACAAGAATGAAGAAACGCACATAAATTATAAACTGAATTTTGAAATTAATGTCTTCTGTCCTTTCTTCCCTTCCTTCCATCTTCTCTCTGCCATTTCTCTCTCCCCTTCTGGTGCTTCTCACACTCTCCTCACATTCACGCTTCCCCACAACATCAAGCTTCTCAATTCACATTTCACAGTACCATCGCCTTCGTTCTTTTACAGACAACCCATTTTGATCTCTTACGCCACTCGTCACTGTCACTGTATGTCTCCTCATTAGCCCAGGAACTTGTTATATACAAAGCAGAGGTCTTGATAGAGATAACAATGGATACATAAACAAGCAGCAATGAGCTCAGTGTCTTTGACGGTCAAATGAGTTGGGGTTGTTTGATTTCCTTCTTTTGGGTTGTGAATGGGTTGTGTGGTTTCTCACTTAGCGGCGAAACTAGCCTTCTTTCCGCCGTCTCCGCCCACTTACCAACTCAAGAAGGGGGCCGACGGGAAGCTTATGGTGGTTTCGCCGCCGTCACCGTCGCCTTCCATGCTGATGCCGATTCCTTACGCGGATGATCCTTCCTTGGATGTTCTGTTCGTGGGCACTAAGTTTGGAAACAAGATTGTGGCTTTTTACCTCAGAAATCCTTACGCTCGCCTCACTCTGCTTTACTCTCACGGCAATGCTGCTGACCTGGGTCAACTCTACGACCTCTTCGTGCAGCTCAAGGTCAACCTTAAAGTTAACATCATTGGGTTAGTGCTTTTCTCTTCTTTAATCACTTTTGCATCCTTAATCACTTAAAACATGTTCAAGTTAGTTCATTTTCTGCTCCTGGTATTGCGTTCTCTGACCCTTTTGTGTTGCCTTGAATATGTGTGTGTATTTTTCACGGGGTTTTTTTAGTGTTTACCCAAGCTTGGATCTAAAACCAGGAATTAGATCTGGTGAATGTCTTCTGCTTTCCAATCAAAGGGAAAAGTGCGTGGGTTTTGGTGGCTGGCCTAAAGGTAAAAGATGAAGTGAATGGGGTGAAAGAAGATGGTTGAATTTATTAGTTAGTGCAAAACAGTCTTTTTCAGACCTTTCTTTGTCGTTCGTTGGATTTACTTTCTCCTCTGAATAAAGTAGCAATCGAGAGTTTTTCTTTCTTTCTTGGTTTTTTCCCCTTTTAACCATTGCATTGATTGATGAGAGGAGATAGGATAAGGATTAGCGTTTCCCTTGGTATTTCGTGCCGTTGGAGGAGTTATGACCTTCCCTTTTCAAACCCTCTAACTTTGTCTGTATTTTGAAAGGACGCTCCTTTTTTTCCCTCTCTTCAAAGCTCAATGTGCGTTTTGTGAACGTTTCCGAAATATGTTCATAATGATGCATCGTTGTTTGGTTCTCTCTCTCCAAGGAGTGAACGTTTCGAACAAGTTTGACTTGACTGGCACTGTCATGTTCACCTGGTCTTGGACGCAATCGGATTCCATACGTTTCAAGAGTTTCATAGCTATCCTGCTAATTTTCAAACACTTGAATTGATAATATTTTTCTGCAAATGTTTTTGGACAGATATGACTACTCTGGATATGGGGCCTCTACAGGCAAGGTAAGACTTGGAGAGATTTGAAAACTTTTGAAGCACATGTTTGCTTTATGAACAACTAGTATTTGGCCGCGTGAGTTGAGTTGTAGGGGGTTATGAAGTAAAAATGCTAGAAAAATTGTGTTGCTTGATAAATCCAGTGCGAAACATGTTATATGATAGGTGATGAATTCAAAACAGATTATCTAACATTCTAGCTAAATATGAGCAAGAAGTGAGACGTCAAACAGTTAATTGACAGAACACAAGTTTCAGATCCACAGGAATGTTTGCTTTATGAATAATGGAACACATAAGGCATACCCTCTACTTTCGCCGGTTAAAAATCTAAACCTTGAAGGTCAAATTGGCAAGTTGAATCTCTTAATTTGTGTATTTAGTAATAGAAATAGAGAGAGAAGGTGACACAAAAGAATATGACTACCTGTGGGACCTGAACCTCATCTTTCCAATTATAATCTCTCTTCTATTATTTCATTCTGAATGCATTATTATGCGTTCATCTTTTCTGAATGTAGATTCTTTGACTTGGTTGATGATGTCTTTATCTCAATGTCTGAACTTTTTCACTAGTTAAAGACTCCTGCTGACTTTTTCGGATTTGCTTTATGTCTTGCTTCTGAAATATGTTATACTCTTCCAGTCCTTAATATAGGATCCAATTGTTAAGTTAGTTTTAGTCCTAAATATAAGACTCATTTCTCATATTTATCAATTTTCTCTAAATTACCCCTATAGACACTCCCTCAACCATAATCAAATAGAAAAGGAAGAAGGGGTATTAAAAAAGATGATTATAGTATTTTAGAAAAAACATGTCACATTTTTTATAATTAACTAATTTACCTAACTTTCTTAATTTAATCAAGTTAGTTAAATGGGTTTTATATTAAGAACCGGAGGAGTAGTTTTTCTATGCTGGTCTCTTTCTTTAGATTGTTTCGTGATGGAAAACTGTTCTGTGAATGTCATGCTGTTGATTTTTACTGATGGTGTTACTGCTGTGAAAAATACAGCCCAGTGAATCCAACACATATGCTGATATAGAAGCAATATATGAATGCCTTGAGACTCAATATGGAGTTAGCCAAGAAGACTTGATCCTGTATGGACAGTCAGTCGGAAGTGGGCCAACACTGCACTTGGCGTCTAAGTTGCCAAGGTTGAGAGGCGTTGTTCTGCACAGTGGCATTCTTTCTGGTCTTCGTGTGCTCTGCCATGTCAAGTTCACTGTTTGCTTTGACATTTACAAGGTAAAGCTGTCTAACTTACACTGGGACATTTAACACCTGGTGAAACTTAGGTAATCCGGTATTATAGCACTGCATAAGCTAAAGCATGCACAATTGGCGTCTAATTTGTTTGACATGGCTACAAAATATAAAGAAATTTAATGACTAATGACTAGATACATTTGGTAGAGAACAGAGGAAAGATTAAAGAAGGCTCACTTTTCAAGACCTTAATTTTTGGAATCTTGGATTACCCAATACTTTGTTGGTGGCCTCCATATTTTATATGCATTTAGCTTGAGGTTATTAATGTTCACATCATACTCCTTCCGTATGTTTTTATATGATGTTTAAGGTTTTTGCGGAGAGATTAAGAAAGGCAATTGATGTTAAAATTTTCACTTGCATTCCAAATATGCCCCTTACAAAGAGTAGTAACTTGTGTGTGATGTCAAATAATTGAGGATACTAATATAAGGTTATGTTTGGAAAAAGTAATTAAGATTGTCTTGGAATTGCAAAGTGGCATGTAAATAGGAACAAAAAATTTTCCTTAAATAAAAGGAAACTGAAAGAGTATGTTGGTTTCTGCATCTTCTGCTATGATCCTGGTGTAATGGCTTTCTTACCTTTGCAGAACATCAACAAAATAAAGAAGGTGAAGTGCCCTGTACTCGTAATACATGTGAGTAAGATGCACTCTAATCATATTACTTTGCCTCTTTGCATTTGGTTCAAGACATTTTTATAGTACGCCTTTCTATCTTTGATTTCCAAATATTTTTGCTTATATGGAATTGACATAATTAAAAATTGGCAGGTATTTCATGAACAGGCATGATGCTTATTTTACCTTTCAGTAATTTCACAATGCTGTAATACTCTTTCTGTGTGTGAGTATATGAGAAACACAATGGGTAGATATTGCTTCCTTCAAGATGACTAATAAAACTAAAGATTATAGGATAGCCATAGCTGGTTGGAACATCAAATATTGTAGGAAAATTAGCGAAAAGTAAAAGCACCATGTCATGATATCAAGAAATATTTCGCTTCCATGTGGGAGACTTGACCTGAATACTTGGTCCTCCTTCTGTTCTTTTTTATAAGAGACAATTAACTGAATTACATTGATAAAATAGTTGGTGAACATTAGCTAGAGATAATAAATGGGTAAAAAATTTATTCTTTTTTTCTTTTAAAAAAAGCCCCTTATTTATGACAGAAAGCCTAAGAGACAGAATGTACTATTTAAACAATTTACCTCGATAATAAATGCAATGGTACTAATGAGTCAGTAAATGGGACAAAATGGAAAATTAACAAAAAATTAGAGATGGCCTTAAGTGCCTCTTATAAACAGAAACAAATCATACCCGAAAATTGTCTCTTATAAAAAGGAAATTGTCTCTTATAAAAAGGAATAGAGGGAGAAGGTTCACCAGCTTTGGTGTTGGATTTCCTCTTTGAAACATTCCCCTTTGAACATCTATGTTGCTGCTTGCGGGACTGCAACATATTTTCTTTGAGAATTTTAATCTGTCTTCTCACATCCGTGAGGCCTTTTTTTTTTTTTTTTAATCACTAAGCATTTAAGTTACAATTTCTCAATTAACCTTGAGTCATGCAAAAGATATCGTTACATCCCATCAATGAATTTCATGTTCATCTGTACTATGCCATGCATGAACTTCCATTACAGTGCCAATTACTCATAGACTGGAAACTGAGAAAAGTTGGCTAAATTATTAATACAGGGTACAGAGGATGACGTTGTCAATTTATTTCACGGCAATGGACTCTGGAAAATGGCAAGAGAACCATACGAGCCTTTGTGGATCAAAGGAGGTGGGCACTGCAACTTGGAACTTTACCCTGATTACATACGCCATCTCTGCAGATTTATCTTAGAGATGGAGAACATGACAACCCAAAAACGTCTCAAAAAGATTCGTCAAAGTCTGACAGCACAATCAAAGTCAAACACCAGTTCCACCTGCAGATGCTGTGGAATGAAATGTTGGAGACCAAAGGATCCGGAATGCTTAAAATGCAGCTGCACAAAATGTTGCTGGACCCCCAGATGTTGGAGACCTAACTTTTCCAGATGTTGCTCGTTACCGAAATCCATGAAATGCCTCAAACCACCTTGCTGCAGGACAAAATGCTCAAGACCAAGCTGCCATATAAATTGTTCGATGCGCTGCTGCTGCATTAAATGTTTCTGTTGGCAATGATGGGTGAGAAAACACAGCGGAGGCATAAAAGTGAAAAACAGGATGCTTAATGGTGGTGTTGACAAGCTTGTGTATATACACATAACAAAGCCCTTGAAATATAGTGCAGTGAACGAAGGGGAAACCGAAGGAAGTAGCGGATGGCAAATTTAGGAAATCTATAAGATCCAAAGTCCTCTGAGTTATTCTGAAGCTTCATCTTAAAGATTTTACTAAACTGTTTAGGCACACGATGATGAATAGCATTTTGTCTTCCATTTTGAAGCATTTATAAATAAGGTGTCAAGATTCTTCACCATTTCATCCACGTAGGAGCTGCAGGAAACGGACGATATAGTCTTTGGTGTATAAAGCATGGATTCTGGGATAAGAACAGGACATGAGAGGACAAATTTTGGAGCAGGCCAAGTCGTGTCTAGTACCCCCAATGTCCGACATATGTGATATGTGGGACACTGACTTGAAATGTCTCTGCTTTCCTGGGGAGAAAGCAGTGGTTAACAACAGAGTCAACAAATAGATGAGAAGCAAAATCATGTTCTATAGTTCAAAATCGAAAACATTAGATGGTTACACGTTAGAAAGTAAGGTTGAAGTGTATCCAGCACTCCTAAATGTTTTTTCTGGTACACCAGTGGCCTAATAATTTATGGTACAAGTTCGCTCTTAAAGTAATTAAAATGGTGTACTCATATCCCATGATGACAGATATGCAAGTTTGACCATGAAATTGGTGAGTTGGCTTATATTTGACCAAAACAATCTTATCTGGCATGTTTAATAAGCATGTGATGTGGCTTTTCTTGTTAAATCTTTTGTTTTGTTTAAAAATTATTGTTGCCGGCGTCTTCTCCAATCCCTCCTTCAATTGCACAAATGCACACGGTGTTTCTCCCCATGACTCATTTGGCCTCACCACCACCGTCGCCTCGTTCACTATCGGGTGGCTGTACAGCACTGATTCAACCTCCACGCTGCTCAGATTCTCACCCCCACTAATGATCACGTCCTTTGATCGATCTTTAATCTCTAAGTATCCATCTGGATGCATCACTCCCACGTCCCCCGTGTAGAACCATCCATTCTTGAAGCACTTGGAGTTTGCATTTGGATCTTTCAAGTAGCCCAATGTGAGGCAACCGCCCTGAAGAACTACTTCACCAAGGGTCGACCCATCTCGCTCCATGCTTATACCTGAATCCGGATCCACCACATCCAACTCCGTCATCCCGATGGTTCTCACCCCCTGCCACTCTGATTTCAGAGATAATTTTTAAACAAAACAAAAGATTTAACAAGGAAAGCCACATCACATGCTTATTATACATGCTAGATAAGATTTGTTTTGATCAAACTTAGGCTGACTCATCAATTTCACAGTCAAACCGACAAATCTGTTACTATGGGATATGGGTACACCATTTTAATTATTTTAAAGACGAACTTGCACTATAAATTATTTTAGGCCACTAAGTGCACAAAAAAAAAATACTTGGAGGTATTGAGTGCACTTTAACCCTAAAAAGTATTAAGTACTTTGGTTGGATTATGAGTACTTTTCATAGGCTATTAAAATTTGAAAGAGACAAGGGAAGCATTTATATTCTGTACCTATAAAGTCGGTTCCATCCTCCCTGTGGTGTTCTCTTTCTCGTGAAAAACTGTGTGCAAGTTGATCCTAAGGGGACGACCAAAAACCAAAAACACTAAAGCCATTGATGCTATCGTCTTAATTAATTTCTCTAAAATAAATTTATTCTTGAGTTAAATGAAAAAATTGACAAGGATTCCTATCAAGTTAATTTGAATTGCTAGGACAAGGGCTGCGAAGAACCTGCCAACATGTGCTTGCTTTTTCTTTTTTCTTTGAACTTAACGTTCTGCTTGTTTTAGGTCAAAGTGTGAGCAGCTTCCCCCCATCTTATTTCGGTTCGATTTATAATTATTTATTACAAGACACTTTTTTTTACTTATATAGTCTAATAAATATTATTGATTATTTGTAAATAACAAGATTTGTTATAAATATTAATATATTGGCTTTTTTTTTGTGAAAACATTTAGGTGAGTTAGATGGGAAAGGCCCTGATTTTGCAATTCATGATGTATTTATGAAATTACTTACAAATCTTTATACCTCAAACAATACTTACTTATTTTGCACTTCATGACAATACACACAAATTACTTCTAAACCGAGTTTTGACATTAGCTTTGGATTCAAACTTGTGTTGAAATAATAATAGTAGTAGTGACATTTTTTTGGGTACAAAAAGTAGTAGTCACATTAAGATAAATATTGATTAGATCTTTTTTTTTTTTTCCATGCGTAGGTATGCTTTTACTCTACTACTAAGGACAATTTTATTCGATGCAATGTTAAGTACTAAATGTAAATACTTTTTTGAATAGAGATTCGAATTTTAGTTTGCCGTAGGTACGAGAGATTAGGCTCCTTCCTTTAGACTTAATGCTCTTTGATTGCTCAGATTATATATTCGATTGACAGACAAAACTGATGCTTCAGTCTCTTTTGGAGGGGATCCAAACGCACGCCGTTGGGTCCATTATCCATTTGTTCTCGCAAATATTCTGTCCACTTTCGTGTTTTGCTGTCCATATTCCAAGTTTTTGTTTTCTCATATAATGATATAACATATACACCCAATTAATTCTTTCTTTATGCACATGGCATTGTTGGTAATGCTGCTTACTTAGAGGCACATGCCTCCACCATATAACTCCCCAAAGTCCCTCTTTTAAAGGCCAAATTCTGGCAGTGTCCAAGTCCGACACAAGATATGCCATGTTTGCTTTGGTCTACAATTAGTTTCAAAGCAATTGAAATGCTATTTAATATGCGCGCATACATGCAGGTTATAAATTTTCGAACTTTGGTCATGAAGCAGCGGATGAAATTTTCAAGTAAATTAACTTCAGTCTCAAGGTTTTGAATAAAATTTAAAAACGAAAAGTTACCCTGCTATATATGAACAAACTAATATCAAATATGACAAGATTTAATCAACTCATTTATTTATTTCTACTAATTAATAAATGAAAAGTTAAATTTACTCTCTATACTTACATTACATATATCTCAACATCAATCATCTCATATCGGCCTGTTCACTCTCATCCACCGGCGTTGAAGTACGGCTTCCCCGCCTGGAGCGCCGCGGATGGTGGCTGCCGCCAAACCTCAACCTTCCGGTTTCCTTAAACCTCTGTCTCTCAGAGGGTATGATAACACACTCCGGCGGCGGCACAGGGTACCTCAAAGTATCATAGCAGTATGAGTAGTACATGTAACGCCCCCGGAACCTCCGCATGGCGCGGCGGCGCGCCGGAGTTATCACAGCATAGTCTTGTGCTTCGAGCTGGGCGTGCCGGTTGGAGCAAGCACCGGCGGGGACTTGTTGGATGGGGTCAACAGAGCAACCGTCAATGACGAGGTCCTTGAACTCTGATACAAAAGGAGCGAACTTGTAGTTCACTTTGTATTTACCACCTGAAGTGGCCCAATTGGAAGCATCCCATAGGGTTGCATATAGTGACATTGGCTTTGACGGGTAATCACCGCCCATTTCCTCACTTCTTTTCACCTCTCTTACTGGTACTTCATCTATGTAAAATCTGCAAATCCACCAAGTTTCAGATGTCAATGCCGGAAAAAGAATGAGTAGAAAGAGAGAATACATGGAAAAAAAAGAGTGACACACATGCGAATCCAGAATCCAGAATCCTCATCCTCTGAAGTCGGAACTTCTAAAGTTTTGTAGTTCATAAAGTACACACCTTGCGTTGATGCAAATTTTAATTAAGGATAAGAACAAATTAAATAATTAGCGATAAAAAATAAATTACATATATGCCTTACTAAGTTGAATAGTATTAACCTTTACAAATTTCAGAAACACCAGTTTGATAGATTTCGGATTCCACACGGCACTTGTATTATCCCCCCCCCCTCTAAATGGTAAGGCAAGGAAGGAAGGATTCGATCTAAAAATTTTAGACACAAGTTTGTTTAATTGTTTAATAGTTTGAGCCGCTTTTGTGTCAATTATTTTAAAATAAGAAATTCGCAGCTGAAGTTTTTTTTTTGTTACACTAGATAAAGTCAATACAAGTTAGCTGAGTTGGCTAAAGAGATCTTAATTAAGCTTTTTAATTATATGCAAGAGGAAGTCTATTTCTCTTTCATCGATCGCTTAGGGGTCAACTATCCTTACTAGGCAAAATTTGTAACGCTAGACGACTCCTCGTTCAGGTATGACTCTGAATTTAGAAGTTAAATACAAGTTACTGGAAATAATATTCTAAATTTGATCTCTCACAGCCTCTAGAAAACACCAAACTTACAGCTAATATAATTTCTATCTTTAAAGAGGAAAAAAATTGGAGCAAAGTTGGTAAGCAATAAATGCATAGATGCATATATTCCAATGTGAAGAATGATATTGGGCCAGCTGGTTTTGAATTCAATGAAAGGAAATAATAATGTGGGGACAAAGTTTTCCAAACAATGCAGGAATCTATGAGCTAGCTTAGTTTGGTAGTCTAACAAAAATTGCTGCGCCATGTATTAAAAGCACTAAAGAATCCAATTCACATGCTTCTTCATAGCGCATGAAAATAATTCCACATTTTAAAATTTCATATATATGACAGTGTAGGCCTATCAATTGGATCAATAACCTTCTCAATTTTTTGTCAACTTTCAAATACATGTGCAAAGAAATTAACTTTTAAGGAAGAAATTAAAGAAAATTCAGCCGTATTCTAGAACCACACAAAATGGGTTAGGCGTTCAGCAAAATTTAGAATCATTATTTTGCCCACGACCACCACAATCTATTCAAGCTTTCAACGTCACAGTGCCAATTCAAAGCTTTGAAAATTCTGTCAATACCAAGGACCGTGACGTTTGGGTGCCCGTGTGAGTGGATATATATATATATATATATATATATAACTAAAAAACCAAAAAAGAAGAAAGGAAGAGTCCTCCCATATCACATGTATTCTATTCAGAAGGATAAGCACAAAATTTATGCGAGAAATACAACTTGTATAATCTAATTTATTGTCAAGCGCTCGGAAGGAAAAGATAGTTGTTTCGAAAAATGTATAAATTACAAAAACTTTATACTGGCTATGTATAATTGTGGGAGGGAAGGACCCTCTTTTATATAAATATATATATATAGCCGAAAAAAAAATGAATGAATTATATTAAGCATCAATAAAGTTAAAGCCATCTTTTCAGCAATGAAAAGTTGAAACTATTGGCCAATTTGATAGTTCACAAGTCGTAGAAGCATCCCACACGCAATTCCAAACACTCACGTTATGTCAAACAAACCTGTGATCAATCAAACATCCCAAAACTTCTCTTGAAAAAAAAAAACAAACACCATCCGCCCATTTACACATGAACACAGCACAGTTTTCGCTTGGGATTACATATATATATATATATATAGAGAGAGAGAGAGAGAGAGGCATACACACACATCTTCAGCAATTCAGGAAGTTAAATTTATAATTATTACGAGTAAGAAGGAAAAATAGAAAAATTAAGATGAGACTCACATGATGCTGCTTGGGGTCCAGAGAATGCTGTATCTGTGAAACTCTTTGGTTGGGTCGAACCAGAGACGGTATCGTTCCTCACGGCCACGATGTGTGCTTCCGTTACCGTACAAATTCGTCTGAAACCTCCACGGTTTTCCTGCAATATTGCCTAAGAACTCGAAGTCCAACTCGTCGTGAGTCTTCTCGAATACATCACCGTTTGATGTCTGTTATAACAAATTCAAATAAGCAATACTCATATTACTCAAACTGTGCTTTCGAATTTCGCGCTGGTGATTAACAGTAATCTCACATATTCACCAGACTCCAGAAAACCTGATTAATTAACTATCAAAATGTATTCGATTGTGAAAAATAAATAAATATTATGCACACAAACATACGTAAAAGGCGACGCAAACGCCAGCTGTGTAATCCGAAGGCAACTTGATGTTCGCGCTGAAGAATCCGTACTGGTACATGCTGGAGGAGATGAAACCTGAACCTGTTTCATCGAAAAAGAACGAAAATCAGAATACAGACAAACACACACTCGCGCGCGCGCGCAGAGCCTTTGAAATGATGAAATTACCGGTGAAGCGATCGAGGAGAAGGCGGACGCCGTTGCCATCGGGAGAGCGAACGACGTTGCCGTCACCGAACAAAGGAGAGTAGGCGTCGTCGAAGGGAGTGGTGGTGAGGTTAAACGACGCGGCGTTGTGGAATAAGGCGAGGGAGAAGAAGAGGAATACGAAGGAGCAATAGGAGAGAAGACGATGATGAGTTCTGGGAATTATCCCGAAACAGCATGAGCGATCCATACATACGAAACTCAAGCGTTTGCGTCTCTGCGTTTTTCTCTCTCACTCTTCCACTTTCTTTGCTTCGATCTCTCAGACACACACAAGCTCACGACCCGAAATGATTGCTAAGGAGAGAAGAACGGAAAAGAATTGAAGACGATGATGACAATGGGGACGGGGGCTTGGCGCGTCTAATATCCTTCTTAATGTCTCACTTTTTTAATTTTTTTCCTTTTTTTTAAATAATTTTTATCTGAATAAAATAAAAGACATTGTAATATCTTTCTGTGAGATAATCTTTATGATTTTTAGAAAAAACATCAAAACCAAGGTCAAAAGTTCCTGGCGTGTTTGTAACCTTCAAACCATGGTTTCAGAAGTATTTTACAAAACGAGACAAATTCCTCTACATATTTACTTCGTAAACCGTAAAAACACTTTTGAAATCATGTTTTGGGGGGTGTTTGGATACCCTGAAAAGTACTTCTCAAAAGCACTTTTCCGTAAATCGAGATAAACTCATCCACATATTTACTTCGTAGACCGTAAAATCACTTCTGAAACTATGGTTTGGTTTTCATCCAAACACCCTCTTGGTTTCTATCCAAACACCCCCTGATATATTAATTATGTAAAAGCACTTAAAATGTAGAACTCCTCATGTCCTAATTATAAGGTAGAGAGAAGATTTTTTTAGTTCTATTTATAGAACACTGAGAGAAATTTTTTGTATAGATGTACCATTTTCCCTTTTATTTATTATTATGTTAACTTTGTTTGTATGAGATATAGTGTATATTAAATAGGGATAAAATTAAAAAGTTATTGAATTTTAAATGAGAATTAATAAAGTTTAAAATTTTTTTTTGTTTATATAAAACATGTTGGAAGTGACTTATAAATAGAATTAAAAGAATAGTATCTAAGTAGCTATGAGCAACTTACCTTAATACTTTGGGGCAAATTTTTTTCAACTGGCCGCCAACATATATACAAAATGCAAAATGGAAGATATTTGTACATAATTAAAAAATATGTTACACTTGAAGACTTAAGACCTTATATACTTTTGCGTAATTAATTTTTTAATCAAAGATGACCACTTTGTCCAAACTACCCAATTTAAACTGAAAATGTGAGGCATTATAACTAAGAAACCTCCCAAAGTCAAGGCGGTCTTACTTTTGCGCGTGGGCTGCCAGCCGAATCAGGTTTAAATATTTCCATGTGTACGATAATGCCCTCGCTTGCTCAGGGATATTATGAGACACGCCACTCACATATCCCATGACACGGACGATGGTGGTTACAAATTTTTAATTATTTTTTTAATCTTTAAAAGAGAATCTTTCCCCCATTGTTATATTTGTTTTTTCATGTTTACAAAATCCGACCACCATATGGGATTGGATTAAAATGTTGTTCTGTACCAATGTTATCCTCTGATAACGAATTTTATTATTCAATAATGTTCTGAGTAACATGAATCTCATAATTCAATTATATGCAATCAAAATAGAAGTTTCACTTGCAAGTAATAATTGTTACGAAAGTCATCATACACATCACTTATTATTTTTATGTGCTATCAATTTCATTATTCAAATGCTATATTGTTAAATGGGAATTATTTTCTTAAGAGACGTTGTTTGCTTTCATGCTAAGTCAGATATAAGAGCTCACATGTAAATTGTCATAATCCATTTTATTGTGACCAATGTTTATTAGCATAATATTACGAGGAAACCATTTTAAAATATCTACATTTCTTGTTCAATTTTTAATTTGATATATATATTTAGTTTTTCTCTCTTTATAGATTACTTAACCTTAATTTGTAAGCACTATTAACCCGTTATAGATACTAACGGTTTTAACAAAAGTCACCAAGTTAACGTCGCTAATAGAGCAAAATCAAAGGAATCAATAGAAAGAAAACAATATATGTATCAATTTTTTTAACCTAGAATAAGTACCTGCAAAATATTTTTTCCTAATAATATTTATTTAATTTATTTAGTGTGTGAATTTTGCACAATCTTCATTTCCAAGCTGTTATGCTGTGTGTGTGTGAAAGTTCTTGGTTACAACTTACAACTCAAAAGTGACCTTTGCTTATCCAAACAGAATTGTATTTTATAACACATATTTAAACGTATATAATAGGGCCATCCATGCTTGATATTAAAAACTAAAATGACCCCGAAAAAGAAAGGAATTGAAGGAGAAAGGAATAAAGCAAAGGGGGGGTGATGAATTGACGAAGACTCTCCACGCGTAGTGTTTAAAGTGCCAAAGCCTCTTATCCTTTCCATAAAGAAGATTAGGCTTCTCATTAAATCTTTGAAATTTGAATTGCATGCTTCCTTATTAAGTTAATTATATTTATAGTGAAAAGCACTTAGTTGTTTCTAGAAGAGGTATCGTGGTGGTCAATTCTCAACGCAAATAAAAAGCACTTCCAAACATTTTATCAAAATAAAATAAGAAAATTGAATATACATTATACCATTAAATTATGTCTAAAAGCACTATAAATTTACAAATTTATAGTGAAGAAGCTCATGCACCTGTTATGCTTATGGAAGATTGTCCTCGTGATCTCTTATTTAAAGTAAGAATTATGATTCCGTTTGGTATAAAACATTACTCATACACTTATTATGCTTATGGAAGATTGTCCTTGTGATCTCTTATTTAAGCTAAGAATTATGATTCTGTTTGATACAAAACATTAAAAATAAAAAGTGGAGATTATCATGATTAGGTTCGATAAAATACGTTAAAAGAGTATTTAGTATGAAAAGCTACTTGTTATTTGATACTGGACAAACTCACATACGTAAGATTGGAAAATATCATAAAAGGAGACGATATTATTCAATCTCACCTACATATCTATACAATAAGAAATTACTCACACTAAATACTCTTTATTGATTTTTTATTTCAATCTTAATCATAATCCTCACTTTTCATTCTTAATACTCCCAGCTAAACAGAACCTAAGGGAATTACTTGGAGTCGGCTAACCCTGACTGTCCTTGCCACTTGGTACCTTATAACGTTAAGAAGAAGAGGAAATAATTATTGTACAATGTTATTAACTATGTGGTATAATAATGAAAATAACGAAGATTGCATAGAAGACACACAAATTTTATGACGACATTATTGTCATCTGCCATTATCAATTATAGAAACAAAACAATCATGTTCAATAAGATCCTAGCTGTTTTGAATTATGGATTTTATTTTATAAAAAAATGACGTATATAAGACGCCTTAATTAGATACCAAACTTGAGTGGCAAAAAGCTCCCTCTCAAGATCAAAGCAGTCTTCTCATACACTCATGACACTGAGAGGGATGCGAGGAGCTTACACGTTTGTGGCTTTAGTTGGTCAAAATTTTAAATACATTGAGATTTAATTATTTAAACTAAAAATATTAATCATCACTCACATACACAAAAAAAAACTTTTAAAATTTCCAAAAGCATAAGAAACATTTATTTATTTATGTGTCTATCTTCACCGAAAGATTCCTCCCCCGCAGCACTCGATATAAAGTCATAATACTAAATTAAATGACACTTTTTTTTTTAATGACACCTTTAAGGGTCCATTTGGATCAGCGATTGAAAAGTAGCTTATTGAAAAAGTAGCTTTTAGAAAAGTGAAATTGGGTAAAAGCTAAATTGGATAAGTTGAATTGTGTTTGGATTAGAGTTCAGAAAAGCTAGTTTGTAAAAGTGAGATTGGTAAAAGATTGTTTGGATTATAGTTGAGTGAAAATAAGTTTAGTTGTAAAATGACCCAAATGGGTATGAGTTTTAATAAATAATGAAATATTATTAAAAAAATAATTTCACATAATACAATGAAATTAAAATAATTTAATATGAAGAAGTCACAAAAAATATTTTAAATATAAAGTGAAAAATGAAAAAATAAAAGTATATTTTTATGAGCATATTTAAAAATAAAAATATATTTCTAATTTATTCATTACTTTTAACTGATTTTTTATTATTTACAAATTAGTTATTTGATGCTTATAATAAGAACCAAAGGAGGTAATAAATTTCTTAACTTTTTCTCTCTCCATATTTCAAAAGCTATAAGCCATAAGTTATAAGTCATAAGCTGTTAATTTTAACTTATAGCTTATTGTAGCTTTTCATACAAAAGCCCGATTGCAGAAAAGCTGATCCAAACGGACTCATTGTGTCAATCGGGCTTATAGAGCTTATAAGCTACTTATAAGCTAAAAATAAGTGATGCCAAACAGGCACCAAGTGCAACACAAATAAGCCCAGCCTGACTCAAAAAATGAAATAAATAAGCGTGGGTTAAAAATAAAGAATTAACATACTTATAAATATATGCGTATGGATAACACTTAAATCAAATTTTTTATATCTATTATGTCAGGTTTTCATATAATTATATATTTTGTTTTTAAAATATTAACGTTTAATAAAATATATGACCATATATATTCTGAGAAAACTAGAATAAGCATAAGTAACTTAAGTACTACCTCCGGTCCTAATTATAAGAGCCAGTTGACTAATTTGAGGAGATTAAAAAAGTAAGTTGAGTTAGTTATTTGTCCTAAATAAGTATTGTTTTTCCTAAAATATCCTTGCTAATCAAGTGTATTGATTAAAACTCTTATTATTAGAAGGGATACTTTGGAAAAAAATGTATAAATATGAGAGACAAAGTGGATTGGGATCTTATATTTAGGACCAAAATAAAAGTCAAACAGGGTCTTATATTAAGGACCGGAGGTAGTATTTATAGATATATAGTCAGTTTGTAACGAACTGTTTTTCACTTTTACCACAAAACGTTGACTCGGTTTGTTATACTCCCTCCGTTTCTTATTATAAGAGACAAATAATCAAATTATGTTGATAAAAAAACAGTTAAAATTAGTTGAGAACAATTAATATGTCAAAAGTATAATATTTTTTCCAACAATGCCCTCATTAATAAAGAGGGAGTATGAGAGAAAACAATTAAATTATTAAAAGAAAGAGAAGTGGGAGGGAGAGAGAGTATGAGTTGGAGAGAAAATAAATAGGGGTAAAATAGGAAATCAATACAAAAAATAGAGACAATATTTAAGTGTCTCTTATATATAGAAGTATACCATAAACATCAAATGTCTCTTATAATAAAGAACGGAGGGAGTAGTTGAGATTGAGAAAGGAAGATCGGAAGGAAGCAAAACAAAGCACGAGGGGGGAGATGGGGCATAATTGTCCGGAAGAAGGGAAAGACGGGAGTATTAGTAATTTGGTAAAAAAGAAGGGGCAATTAAGGAAAAAAAAGGCATTTGATTTTTCCTAACAGTCAAAAGTGGAATGCCTCTTCAATTCTTACATTTTCGTTATGACCCCGCGTCCGAAACTCGCGGCGGCGTTATATACTCCTTTTTTATTTTTACTTTATTTTTTAAAATAATAATTGGGCCGTTATACTTTTATTATCGTACGCGACAAGACTGCATATCTCAAACATAAAAAATAATTTTAATTATTTATGCAAGAAAAAAAAGGTCAAATCACTCTAATAATCCTGAATTATTTTTTTTTAGCACAATTGCTTCTTGTGTAGGCAAACTAACCAGGAATAACGCGGAGGAACTTGAAACCAAAATATGAACATTTAAGGGATGACAACAACTTGCTGGTGATGACCCTAGGATTTTATTTGCTAGTAATGGGTTTAAAATACAAGGAGGATTTGAGTTATAATTCTTTAATGGATTCCAGTTTGTTTTGATCTTTCATTAATTTTGTTTTAGAGGTTGTGTTATACTCCCTTAGCCTTATAGAATCTAATTGTGAAATTAATATTTGTCTTAAATCTAAAAATTATCTAGCATATTTATCATTTTTTTTTTCAAATTACCTTTAGTAGTATTATCTTAACAACAATTAAGTAGGAGAGATAGAGGGTATTGAGTAATACGATAGGAGATTTGAGATGTTTTATGAGAAACTTGTCATATCTATTATAATTAATTAATTTATTCAACTTTTTTTAATATAATTAAATTAGTTAAAAAGGTATTCTTCTAGTTTTATTTATAGGATAGAGAGATAATTTTTTTATCCTATTTATAATTCACTTCATTATATTTTTAGTGTGAATGTATTATTTTGTTCTTCTTTTTATTATAGTGTAGGTAATTTTCTCTTTTGAAAGGTGTATATATTAAATATAGATAAAATTAACAATTTATTATATTTTAATGAAAAATTAATACATTTTAAGATTTTTCTTAGTTAGTATAAAATATACTAAAAATGTTTTATAAACAAGATCATAGAAGCATTATAGAAGAGTATATTATACTTGATGTCACTACTGGCTGACATTTAATTCCGCAGTTACCTGTGTCTTCTCTCAACGGCTCCTTTCCATGTTTTAATTGTTACCTTCCTAAAAAGCCACATTACACTAATTGTTACCTCCGATTCCCCCCCGGGGCTTCATCTCCCTTGCTTTCCAAGTGTAGTCCTTTGTATACTAGATTTGAGTTGCCTTCGTCCTTTGCTATCACGGTAAAAATTATTTATAAACACATTTTATGTCAATTGAGATAAAATTTTTCTCACATATTTACCTCATATTCTGTAAATCATGATTAAAAAGCTACTTATAAGCTATTTCAAATTGCCTCTTAATGTTTGAGCCTATCTTATTCTTCCTCTTTTGGTTACAAGTTGTTTGTTTATTATTACTCATGATCTTGAGTAATTAATACTCTTCAATTTCTCAGTTACTTTTGCCTTCTTAACAGTTGCTTGTGGTATTTTAACTGCCTTTTACTTAGGTATTCATGAATTTACGATATATGGTCCTTTACTTTCAATTTTTGTTTTTTTGGAGTGCTTGGATTAACTTTATGTAAGAAGGGTTTTGTCACACCCTATGTGAAAATAGTTTTTAAAGTGCTTTTAAGACTAAACATTCACCTCATTGTATCATTATGTACCTATATATAACTCATTTGTATCTTATTTTCACATATTAAGAAATAATGCACCAAATTCATAACAAAAATTCAAATCTACCTTTATTAAAGAAAGGGCAATTGAAAAAATGTGTTGTACATTTTCTCTCAAATATTTTCTTTATCTTATACAGCAAAACTGAAAAAAAAATCATTAATTACCCACAAGTAACTTGTATTTGAGAATTTTTTTTTATAAGTAACTTACATATAGGAACAGTGTCGTATATTGCTTTCCAAGAATCCATCCAATCTTTCTAGATTACTAACCATTTTCGGTGAACATGCAACTAACAAGTAATATTACTATATTAGGTTGACAAATCAAATATTATCTCTAGTTCTTAATATAAGAGTTAATTTAATTTTTAATTTGGTTTTAAATATAACACTCTAATCTATTTTGTCTATAATATTTATCCATTTTTTAAAGTAGTCTTTATAGTAGTTACATATATTAAATATTTCATTAAGTAATGCTACCTCTAATTTTTAATATAAAAACTCATTTGACTTTTATTTTGGTCCAAAATATAAAATTCTAATTCACTTTGTCCCTTTTATTTATTCATTCTTTTTCAAGGTGATCCTTGTAATAATAGTAGTTCTAACTAATACACTTGATTAACAAGGATATTTTAGAAAAGACAGCACCTATTTATTACAAATAACTAACTTAATTAATTTTTTAATTTATTCACATTAGTTAATTAGCTCTTATATTAAGAACTGGAGATAGTAGTTTTAACTAATATACATGATTAAGAAGAGTATTTTAGGAAAAATAACACCTATTTATTATAAATACCTAATTTAAAATTTTTTATTAATTTATTCAAATTAGTCAAATAACTCTCATATTAAAAATATGAGATAGTAGCATGCTTGTGTGCACCTTTCCTTTTTCTTTTTCTTTTTTTGGTGATAATATCTCTGCGTACTTTCTATGTTAACCCTGCATCACAATTTACGGATAAGGCTTCAACATGTCAATTAATGGACCTGCTCGTAGGCCTGTACATTTGTTAAAAGCCCAAAACTGTTCTCATTAAAAAAAGCCCAAAACTGTTTTCGACCAACAAAATTGAATATACTGCCTCACGCTGAATTTGAATGATGTGCCTGCCAAAAATGTAGTCAGTAAATGACTTAATTTATTGTAAATTTTTATATTTTATATTCTCACACTAATAACAGTGAGTCATACTTTGCTTCATTAAATTATTTACTAATTTAAATACTTCTTATTCAGCTGTTTAATCTTTATATAGTTAAAATAAAAAATGAATTACGTAGATCTTAATATGCCACAGGAAACCAAATATTAATATTAATAAACATAAATATTTATTATAATATAAAACTAAAAATATGATACTATTTATAAGTCATTAACTCATCATAAATTTTTAAAAAGATAAAATAAGAAGATTGATCTTAAAATGGTGACTTAAAGAAGAAAAAAAAACAAGCTGGTAAAAAAAAAAAACAGAAAGAGAGAAAAACTTTGTCCCCAAAAAAAAAAAAGAAAAGAGATGGAAAAACAAAAACAATGGGCAGGAGGAGAAAAGGGGGATTTCACACCTGCGGTGCAAAATGGGAACGACAATCTGACTGGACAGCGACACCGTACGACGACCTATGCGTTCCTCCGCGCAAGAAGTGAACCCGCCCGAACAAAACTCAAACCGAAGGCAAACAAAACCCTAATCTGAACTTTCCCCAATTCCTTCTTCCCCGCACATCTTATCGAACCTTCTAAGGTGGAAGATCACCTTCTTGCTCTGATATTTCCCAAAATAGATACCTGATTGACCTACGTGTCACGGAGGAATTTTGTTTTTCATACCATTTATTTCTAGTCTTAATTGTCGCTTCCATTTGCTTTGTATTCAGCATATTCCGATTCTTCTTCTCCTTCTGCCGTGACGATTCCTTCTCTTTATGAGCGGTAATTGAAATGTTTCCTCTGTTGGCTAAGAGCTGAATTTTATATATTGCTAAATTTTGTGCATGAATTCAATTTTTTCTCAATGTTATCTTGTTTGTTCTGGACCTGATTATTAGCTGCTGCCAAGTCATTTTTAATAGAGGTTATTGGAGTAGTGTTTTTATTTAGCTGAACAGAAATTTATCAGTTACATGCCAATGCTACTTTCGTAGAAAAGATCGGAAATTGATTTAAAAATTGTTTTTTTTCACGGTTTACTTTAATTGGGAATGAAGGAAGAAGTAATGTATTATTGGTTCATTTACTTCCACTACAATCTATAAATGTAATATGAAGATTGTAGCACTTCGTTTGGTTTAACATTGAAGTTTGTGCATGGAAAGTTTTGTATACAAGGCTTTATTTTTGAGCAGTGGGACTTTGTTGTCTGTTTTTCGGATGAGAAACACCTTGCTAGCTGCCTTGTAACGCAAGTTTTCTTATGACGCAGCATGGTTTAGTGTAAATTTTTGGAGGATACTGATATAAAACCATGGGTAGCGGTGACATGGATAAAACTCCGAAAGAGAAGGAGCCAAAGACACCTCCGGCTATGTCACAGGTCCAGCTGGGCTCTTTTCTACCATGAAAGTTTAATGGCACTTTGCACATGATTGAATTTTTTTGTTTGGCCCTTGTGCTTTCAGGAGCAGTCTTCAACCCCTGGCACTGGAACGATTAATCCTGATTGGTCCGGCTTTCAGGTTTACTGTGACAAAAATTTTGTTGGCATATTATGTTTTGACTCATGCTAAGCTTAGATTTTGATTTCCTCTGCTTCTTTCTACAGGCATATTCTCCAATGCCTCCACATGGGTTCTTAGCATCGAGTCCCCAGGCTCACCCATATGTGTGGGGTGTCCAGGTAGTTATCCCCTAACTTATTGTTAACCAATCTCAAGCATATGATGATGTAGAATATTACTCAACTCAAGTGTGTTTCCCCACTAATGTGTATGCCTGTTTTCTTGTCAACGTTCATCTTTTATATTCTTTATAAAAAGTTAAGATTGTTTCTTGCTAGTGCTTGGATATTGTATTTTCTGATCTAATGCATTTGGAGCAAAAGGAAGGAAGGTATTTTGGGCCTTCAAATAAAACCATTTGGAACAGGCCAGGACATGCCTAACATTCTTGTTGCACGTGCCACACGGATATGGTTGTTTTAATCAAGAGCTTACTGCTGGGCACAATCTGTGTTTGTGTGTACTACTGTAAATTAAAAATTGTCATGTCAAAGGGGGTCCCTTTTTTCCCGTGAAGGATTGGAGGAATGTAACTAGTAATATGACATTTCTATTGCTGGAACAGTGAATGTAGATTTTCCTTTTTCCTCATGTTCAATTGTTGAATGGTTCTCTGTTGTTTTATCGTTCTTCATTGTGCTTGCAGTACATTAACTAGTATGCACCTCTTTCCTCTTATACTACGTGGTATATGGCTGAATATTTATGTCATGATTTTCGTGTTTTGTTACTTGCAGCATATTATGCCTCCTTATGGTACCCCACCACATCCATATGTTGCAATGTATCCTCATGGTGGTATATATGCTCATCCATCTATGCCTTCGGTATTCTTTTGTAAATTATCCTTTCTTGAAGCTGTCATATAGTTACTAAATCATCATAATCTCTAAAGCATTAGCCATTATTTGCAAATTGCCATGATTTTGCGCAGGGATCTTATCCTTTTAGTCCTTTTGCCATGCCTTCTCCAAATGGTATTGCCGATCCTTCAGTGAGTTTTTCATCCTTTCTGCTTTCTCTTTTGTTCTTTTGACTTTTTCTTCATTTCTGTCCTTTTCTCCTGCTCTAGAACAGTCTTTATCCAAGTAAGGAAAACCCATGAGTTTGCATGCAGGGCAATACTCTTGGCAGCATGGAAGCTGATGGTAAGCCTCCTGAGGTGAAGGAAAAATTGCCGATCAAAAGATCAAAAGGAAGTTTGGGTAGTTTGAATATGATTACTGGAAAGAATGATAAACATAATAAAACACCAGGGGCATCTGCGAATGGAGTTCATTCAAAAAGGTAAGATCGGGTGCGTCATATAGCTTAAGCTATAAAACTGCTGATGTCTTTAGATAGAGTAACTTCCTATATACCTGCCTTTGCGAGGGATTCAAATGAGGTCTTTTTTAAGCCTATAATATCTGAACTGCAATGCCCAATTATGAATTGATTCTAGTATCTGCTTTTGTCTCCTTATAGATCGTTTTTGTAGTTACATTTGGTGAGGTTTCTGGATGTGAAATAGTTGAATGTGGAAACAGTTGAAAAATTCCTGAAGTTGATTACTTCATTCTTGCCTTCCCTTGGTACTTTTCTGGTTCTTTTCTGACTATGTTACTGCAAGGAAACCTAGGAAGCTTGGACACTGACGTGGACATGGGACAAAACACTGAATGGACAATGACCGTGTAGTGTCTACATGTAATTTAATGTGTTATGTAATGTCTGTGCTACTTAAAGCCAACATATAGCATGAGAAGACATAAACTGAATGCTGGCACAACTTCCATACTGTAGTGTTTGTGTTTCATGGATGAAAACTGTGTCAAAACTTCAACTTTTCCTTTTTTCAGTCATTGGGTGTTTATTACATTTTGATGTTTGCAACAGTAGTGTTTATTTTCAATGCTGCAGTTACTTGATTCCTGCTGTTTTCGCCATATTGCCCCTCTCAACTAAAGGGATTTTATTGTTAGAATTGACAGTGGATTACTTTTCTGTGTTTAATTGCCATTTGCAATTGCATATTGGCAACATATGCTGATAGCCTAACTTGGACTTGCAGTGGTGAAAGTGCAAGTGAAGGTACTAGTGAAGGAAGTGATGCAAATTCTGAGAATGTAAGTCCTACTATGTGATCATATATGTCTGTTATGACTCAGTTTTGCAGTACCTGTATACTTGAACAAACCTAAGATATGTATGAAGGGGGAAAAACTTAGAGCCATGTGTGGTCTTACGTGCTGATTTAGTAAAATGTCTTAGGTGATATAATGTCATACATTTTTCATTCTCTTGTTTTTACAGGACTCACAGCTGAAATCAGAGGGCAGGCAGGACTCTTTGGGAGGTCTGGCATGTTTATGCTTTACTTTTTTTTGAGTTCTGTACACATGAAGATAAATTTATGCATGTCACAGCTGAGATACCGCCTTCTTTTTGTTGAGTTACAGCTGAACCATCTCAAAATGGAGGTTCGGTACATGCTCCTCAAAATGGGGGACTTAACGTACCTCACAATATGGTCAATCAGACTATGAGTATCGTGCCTATCTCTGCTGCGGGTGCTCCTGGTGGTGTTTCTGGTCCCACGACAAACTTAAATATAGGAATGGACTATTGGGGTGCACCCACTTCATCCTCTATTCCTGCAATGCGAGGAAAGGTTCCTTCAACTGCCGTTGCTGGAGGAATGGTTACTGCTGGATCACGGGAGGGTGCTCAGTCACAACTTTGGCTGCAGGTTAATTTTGTTAACAAAGATGATGTCCATTTTCTCCTTATAATATCATGGCTGTTTGATGAGGATTGAACTGGATCAGTAGAGAATCTTGTTTTGGTCGCCTTTTGACAGCTTTGTACCTAACTTCCTACTGCAAATTGAGGCTCATAACATTGTTCACCAGCTCTGGTAAAAAAAAAAAAAATTGTTCACTAGCTTTCAAACTTGTTTAGACCTATTAGTTTTATTGCATGCTGGAGGCTTGTAAAATTAAGCTCCTTTGTTCTGAAAATTAAACAGAATTGTGAGTTTCTATGATTTCAGAAAAGGAATAATGTTGCTAATCCGGTATATGCAGTATTCGGTGTGGAATTTGATATGAAAACAATGTGCACAATTACACATCTTTACCAGTTGTATTGTTTGATTTGTTTACATTTAGGTGTTTTTGATAAGGAAATATTAAATTCTATGATTGTAACAAATATGTGCACGCCTGGCACCCCCCCCCCCCAAAAAAAAAAAAAAAACCCAATCACCCTTGAAGTTGTAATTGTAAGCAGGTGTCTCTTCTCTTCCTTCCATATTGTTTGTTCTTAGGTGAGCTACTGAGACATTGGTAGATGCATCTAGCCTTGTGATGCTTCTCTGCTTTATATGGATATTTACTTGAGTCCTTATAAGTTAGTTATTAGATCTCTAGCAAACGATCATAATCAATAGCTGCAAAAATTATTTCTCAAACGACCATTATTGTTGCATGATTGGTTTCTTTACACTTTTTCTTTTCGTCTGAAAATCATCTTTTTGTCTAACACAGGATGAAAGAGAGCTAAAGAGACAAAGACGGAAGCAATCTAACAGGGAATCAGCTCGCAGATCTAGACTGCGCAAGCAGGTAATGTAACCTGTTTCTGCTTCTTGTTGCCTGATCATGCTTGCTACACGCGTCATCTGTGTCTGTTCTCTGTTTTCAGGCGGAATGTGATGAACTAGCCCAGCGAGCTGAGGCTTTAAAAGAAGAGAATGCTTCTCTTCGCTCTGAAGTGAATCGGATAAGGAGTGAGTACGAACAACTGCTCTCAGAAAATGCTGCCCTCAAGGTGATAAAATTGATATGGTTTGATATTTGTTCTTGGTCTGTTTGAAATTTATAAGCACTCTACCTGCCAGGAGAGTCCCTAATGGATAAGGGCTGTACCAATATTTTCTGTGTATGGGATCCCTGATTAAGTAAATAAAATGAGGCAAGAGGGAATCACATCACAGTTGCTGTTTGATAACCGCTACACGGATTCCTTTATGATCTGAAAATATTTGTCGAATCTTGAGCATGCTATCTAACTAATTTATATATACAGGAAAAACTTGGGGAATTACCTGAGAATGAGGAACATAGGCCTACCCGGAATGACCAACACGTGGATAGTGACACTCAACAGGCTGAGCAGACGGAAGCCGTGCAGGGCAGTCGTTAATATGTAGCTACCTGCTTCATGCTCAAGATCATAACCTAACCCAATAGGAACAGCAAGTTTATGTTTTGAATAGCTTGTAGTTCAAATCAAATTGTTTAAAAGTCGACCATTAATATATAGTCCTAGGATCTGTTTGTGCTCTATCATTACTCATTTCTAATTAGGTCATCTAACAATCAATACAACTTGGATTGTACTTAATAGTGAAATTCTGCGGTCATTGTTTTCTTCGCAAGCTTAAGCTATTAAATATGGGCATGGGCAATTTTTTCTTTTCATGTTATGCCATCTATTCCTTGTTCCCTTTAGTTGAATGTGAATTCTGTCCAAACTGCTGTATTTTGTACTTCATTATTTAAGGCAAGTCTATCGATCCACAGTTTCAGCAGAATACGATGTACCAGTCACATCAGATGGATCAAGAACTGAAGAGAACAGGTGAGACCACAAAGAACCTGATTAGCCTATGAAAGTGGCTTTTCTTAGTTCCAGCAATGCCCCCACCCTTTCCTATTCATGATTAGCCTATGTCTGCTGCATTAGTTGATGTATGCTTGGCATAACAACTAAGGACCTCTTTAGGATGACTTATAAGCTGTTTTTAATCGTGATTTGTGAAATATGAAATAAGTATGTAAGAAAAATTGTTTCGACTTATATGAAATGTGTTTACAAATGATTTCAAATGTGATAACAAATATGGTCCAATTAATTGCATCATAGTTTAGCGGATTCCTGTCTGTCTCATCAGTTTCCTGCTTAACAAAACTATCATCAATGATGACAAAAATAGTACGATTATGGAATTATAGTTTTATAACATATTTCTTTAGTTTTTAATATAAAATTTATTTAATTAATTTGATTAGATTAAAAAAGGTAAATAAGTTAATTGTAAGAAATATGATTTTTTTTTTAAATATCATAATCATCTTTTTCAATATCTTTTCTTTTTCTTCTACTTGATTATAATTGAGAGAGTATTAATAAGAATAATTTAGAAGATAAATATAAAAAATAGGTTTTATATTTAAGATTAATATCAATTCATATGTTAAGCATCAGAGGAATATATTGGTATTCATGATATTGAGTCGGTGCTCAATTATTATGGCGGATGGGTTGGGCTTTAGGGGAAAAGGCAATGAATAAATTTATTATTAAAACTGGATTGAATGGTTGCCCAGAACACAGGTTCGAATTTAACATATATTAGTTAAATGTTCAGAATTATTAAATTAATCAAACTCACCCCAAGCCCTACAACTCCAATTGATAATTATTATATTCTAGTATTATTAATTCAAATAATTATTTAATTGAAATATTGGATTTGAATATGGGAATATTTTGATCATGTGACATGAATTTTTAAAAATTTTAATTTAAACAATATATTATATTTATACTAGAAGAAATGGGTATTATTCATGTACTATTCTTTGGCTTTTTAGAAATATAAAAAATGTTTACTGTTTAAACCTATAAAAATAATATTAATAAATATGCTTACTGTACTATATATACTGTACAATATATTATTTCATGCCATAATAGGAATAATTTAAACTAAATTTAAATAAAATATTATAAAGATATTCCTTATCATCATATCCAAACTAAAGTCTGTCCCCCCCCCCCCAAATTGTCCAAACCTAGCAAGTTGAGGAACAGATTTCCCATGACTTATTGAGGAGTCTGATGACTTAAATAAATATAAAAAAAAATTCTTTGGACTTGTTCTTAGTTAGTTAATTTGTAGGTCTATTAATTAATTGCATTAGGATATTGCATGTGGCTTGAAAGTTTAACCCCACATATTGATTTTCTTGACTCCGCTAGCATTCATCCTCGCATGTGAAATTTGGTATAATTACTAATCTAGCTTCCATCAATAACCTTTATTATGTTTGGCAAAACTTGTATTTCGGACTTTGTTTTGTATCCCTTCGTTCTTGTATTATATCACCTCAAATTTTTAATATAAAATCTGCTTAACTAATTTGAGTAAATTAAAAAAAATTAGTTAAGTTAATTATATGTTTGATTTTCCTAAAGTGCTCTTTTTAACTATGATTACCTTTGAATAAAAATAATTTGACACGTATAATTAATAGGGATATTTTAAAAAATGAATCACCAAGTTAGTGGAAAAAGCGGATTGAAATTTTATACTTAGGACCAAACTCAATTCTCAGCTATTTCTTATATTAAAGATGTCGGAGGTAGTATATATATGGTAGGTAATCTACGGGTACTTTTATATGCATTTAAGTATACATGAATATAATAAACTTGCTCGACTTTTCCATAGTCAATTCAGGGAGTCACACGCACATCTAAATTCAATTAAGTAGGTGTGCATGGAAGCAATCCATTTCTTTCTTCCATAATCAAAACAAATTAAAACAGGCGAATCTAATAATAATTGGAAGGCAACAACTAAACCTTCTTGCGTTTGTTTATTCAGACAAAATAAGACATCTGACATACACTCCTCAAATCAATATGACAGTAGGCTGAATAATACTGATACAAGGAAGATTTACATATTGATTTATCACACTTCCAAATCAACTCTCATCCGCTGCACTAATTAATTAATCAGCCAGCTATTTCTTCCCCAGAATCTCGAATCATATATATATATATATATATATATATATGGATGCAGATCTCTAAGAGGTTGGCTTCTTCATTGTGTTGCCAATGTCAATCACAAAACGATACTTGACATCAGCTTTAAGTAGTCGCTCCATTGCAGTGTTCACGTAATCCATTGGAATCACTTCTATGTCTGGTCTCACGTTATGCTTGGCTGCAAAATCTACCATCTCTTGCGTCGCCTTCATCCCTCCAATTCCACTTCCGGCCACTATCTTCCTCCCTGCCAATACACACACACACACACACACACACACACACACACACACACATTTTGTTAGAGCATTTCAATTTCACCTTTCAATCAATAACATTCGTCAATTTGTTATTATTTAATCATTTTCCATTTATACTCACCCCAAAGTAAAGGAAATACTGGCAATTCCAGAGGCCTCTCAGGCGCACCAACCAACACCAGTTTGCCATTCGGCTTCAGTAGACCAATCAAAGGCAAAAGAGCATGCACTGCAGAAACTGTGTCTATTATGCCATCAAATGTGCCCATCGCAGCCTACAGAGATATATACCAACAAACATGATATTGATTAATTAGATGAACAAGGTCTGATATCTATATCTCTCTCTATATATATATTAACATATATATATTCACCTGCATCTGATCTTGCTCACGGCTGACAATAAAGGAATCAGCTCCAAGATGTTCAATGGCTTCCTTCTTCTTGTTAGGAGAAGTGCTTATGACAGTGACCTTAGCTCCAAAGGCTTTGGCAAACTTGACAGCCATATGGCCAAGCCCACCGAGACCAACCACACCCACGTGAAGGTTAGGCTTGTCCAGACCAAAATACCTCAAAGGGCTATACACAGTGATCCCAGCACAAAGCAGAGGACCTGCAGAATCAAGAGGCAAAGCATCTGGAATGCGAACCACAAAATGCTCATCTGCAACCATAAAATCAGAGTAACCTCCGTATGTGATAGTCCCATCTACGTACTGGGCTCCATATGTGAGAATATACTTTGAACAGTGATTCTCAAGATCGTCAGAACAACTTCCACAGGATCTGCACGAACCAACCAAACATCCCACACCAACTCTGTCTCCAACTCTGAACTTTTCCACCTTGCTTCCAACTTCTGTCACCACCCCAACAATCTCATGCCTGTACGTATCAAAGTTAATGAGTTTCATTTTCAAACATTCACAGAGGTTTTTATATATATATATATATATATATTGTGTATATGTATGTACCCAGGTACGAGTGGATAGACGGAGAAGCCCCATTCATTCTTGAGCATGTGGAGGTCGGAATGGCATATCCCACAGTAAAGGACTTTAAAGGTCACATCTTTGTCTCCGGTTTCTCTGAAAAAAAGAAATGGATAGTTCATGTTAGTGAAGGATGAAATGAAGAAGGGAATAATAAGGATGCAAAAGATGAAATAATGAAGGAATTGTTATATGCCTTCGAGAGAAGTTGAAAGGAGTGAGAAGGCCAGAAGAATCCCCAGCAGCCCATCCGAAGGCCTTCCTTGGATGCTCAAACTCAGCTTGTGCTACGGCCATTTCAACACTCAAATACTTGTACGGATCACAACTAGAATATTATTGACAGATCAGAGAGTATCGCAGACAGGAAGGGAGACAGTGAGAGTGAGTTTAGTGAGAGAGCGGAGTGAGTACGAGAAAAGAACAAAGGTGGTGGTGCTCATTTATGAGTGACAAGGGGAGGGCTGGTGACTTGGGGTTGACGCACTCGATGACGCACATGTGACGTCACTGATGACGAGGTTGTTTTATTTTTCCTTTGTAAAAAAGAAAAAGGGAGCTCAGCCGTCTCTTGGAGAACACACAAACATTTGACCAGGGCAATGTTCTCGGTGCCGTACTATATTGATTAGTCAAGAATTTGTTTTAATACTTTTTTATGTTAAAATTTTGGCTAAAGTATATATTTGGTGTTTTGATTTTATGTCAAGTTTTAATTTAATCCCTTAATTTTAAAAAGCTTATATTTGGTTCTTTAATCTTAAAATTATTAGGTTTTAATTATGATTTTTTTTGTAACAATCATGAATATTTTGAAAATTAAGCTTAATATATTAGCGTTTGAGAATATTTTATCAATATTTAAGATTTTAATTTCATCATTTTTTAAAAAAATTTTAGGGTTAAAAAACTAAAAGTATACTTTTTAAAGTTAATGAATCAAATTAAAACCTTGTACAAAATTATAGGACCAAATGTATTTTTTAGTCTAAAATCTTTTATTTTTTTTCGTTTGTTAATAATTTGTTTTTAATTTGAGCATGTGATATGGAATGTTACAGAAAGTTACTATACCTATATTATAAATTACGTATGTTTTGAGTCAGTCCGGGTGAGCTGCTTTTTAAGTGAATGTATGAATGCTACAATTAAAGTCAAATTAAACTAGTGTATTTTCTAATAGTGAAAACATTATCTTCACGTCTAGGGATTAATTGAGTTAACTAATTAACATAGGTGATTTCTTTACATATAAATCATATGGACTAACTAATAAATTATTCCAAGTTTCGATGCCTACCTTCTATCCGTCATGTCTAATACATTTTTTGTGTCACCATGATCCATCATGCCTAATACTTGCTCTAACATTAGTAACAACTTTTTTTATACTAAACTAACTTTTAG